TATAGCTGATTGACCTCCTAAAGTTTCCTCAGCTTTAGCTGGAAAAATCTGTCTGAGCCTACGGTCCACTTTCCCTAAGATTGCCCTTCCAATCATTGACTTTTCATCAATGATAAAAATACGCATACTATGCCAGCGTTGCTGCATTTTCTGAAGAGAGGCAGGAGCTAATTCTGAAAAATTACTATCTTTTGTGACTGGAATAGAAAGTGCAAAATTGATTGTCCATCCTCTGATTCCAAATGCAGCAATTCCGGTAGGAGCCATCCGAATAACAGGATCTTTACCATCTAGCTCATCTGCATATTCCTCTCGCAAAAGCAGTAGTAATAGCACGAATAAGCACTGATTTACCAGTCCCTGCAGTACCATCCACATTGATTCTGAGTGGCTCTGGTGATTTCCCAGCTTTTAATGCTTTGATATATGCCATAACCTGAAGGAAAAGTTGCTGTTGTTCCCCTTTCAACTTTGTATAATCCTCTGGAGGGAGATTCTGGATAGTATCATTAGGGAATTGTTTAAGCTGTTCAGGCAACCATTCAGTTGCAGCTTTGATATCAGCCATGGGAGGTGAGTTTTCCACCCAGTTGTAACTGATATCTAATTCACGAAGGCCTAATGATTTCAGTAATGAGTCTGTTGTTGTTACTTCTCCTGGACGACGCCCAGCCTCACGCATCCAATCTGCTTGAAACTGTGCCATTTGAGGATCATCATCATCAGGTGCTATACTCTCAGAGTCTGATTCAGCATCTGGGTCTTCTTCCTCATCTTCTTCCTCAGCTGTAGGCAAGGTATCATGTCCATGTGGGAGATTGAATGGTACACAATCTGTTTCATATGCAGTAATCCAGTTGTCATGATTTTTTAGCAAGTCTGCTTCCTGTACAAAAGGATGATGTAGAATCATATGAGCATAGCACCAGTTCTCATAGACATTTTTATCAGCTGTGTCATGAATAAATCGAGGCCAGATATTCAATGCATAAGGTAATGCAGAACGGCCACCTCGCCGTGATAGAGTTTTGCCATTGACAGTCCAGTGCCGAAGGAAATGGAGGAAAGTTGTTTTCTCTAACTCCTCTTTCAATTGTGCAGATATATTACCAGTAAGCCTAGTTCTGTATGCCTGCCGTAATCCAGTTTTGCGAACAGTATTGCCTTCAAAGTCAATCTCTACATCTTCTTCTTGCTTTGATACATTGACATTTCTGACTACTCTTGATGATCTAACCATAGGACAGTCTAAGAGAATGTGACAGGTTTCTTGAGCAGACATATCTCTCTCAGCAGCAAAAGCAGACAACATCTTCTGATAGGCAATTTGAGCAGCATCAGAGTCATTAAGAGAGGAAACTGCTTTTTTAAGCATATCAGCCATAGTGCTAGATTGAGACTCTGCTTTACTTGCATATTTTGCTACATAAGCAATCACTGCATTCTTATTTAGCACAGGCCTAAAGTCCATATTAGCCCGCCATCCTAAAATTATAACAATGTGATGAGCATTTAGGAGTTCATCATTTCTCCTTGGATGGAGCTCAGGATGCATTTAACCTGGTTCTGTATGTAAACCTGTTGTATTTCTCAAAGGTTTGGGAAAGTGAAACCGGCAAAAATCCTTATGTGTATTTTTGTCCCTGCGTAAACAATATCCTGGAGCGCATTTGGTATGTCTTTGAAAACGATTCAAGAGCTGTGCTAATTCTCTCTTGGTATCTTGAAGAGTATCAAAAAGTTGTGCAGATGGATGAGTTTCAGCTGGAGGGTGTTTCTGATCAGGATTCATGGTAGATATTAATGGGTCCCAATAATTGATGAATGTTTGAACATCTTCATCTTTTTTGAGATCCAGTTTTTCTACATCTGGAGCATCTGAAAACCAAAGAAAACCATGTATATGACTGCTTCCTCGATGCTGCCATTCATATCTCCACCAAAAGTCTTTGATCTGAAACTTGACTTTCATAAAATACTCAAAGTAAACCTCCCAACGTTTCTGGAAATAATATGCTGCAATAGCTATAGAGAGGATTAGTATGTTTATGTAATCCAGAATAATTAATACACCATACCTGGATTCTCATTTAAGTCCTTCCATCTGGTCCTATACATATCAGGATCATTTATATTGGGATTCCATCCAGGCATATGTTGATGTAAATCTGGCCATTGAATATCTGCAGCTGAGCAGGTGAAAAAAACACTAGGACAGCCAATATCCCGTATTTGAGCAGTTAAATCTTTACGTTTACTTGACCAGAATGGTCGAGACCCTTCAATTGGTGCAGCTGACCTAGAAACACGCTGAGCTAGATGATCTGCATTATTCCCCTCAATCAATTCTCTGATTTCTTCAACAGATAATGAGCCATCTTCTGCATGACTACGAGCATACCACTTTGATGCTCTCTTTGCTCTTTGTCGAAAAATTGTATTTAATGCCCAGTAACGAAACCTGGGATGCCTTGCAAATCTTCCATCTTGATAGCGAAGTAGATGTGCTGCCCATTCTTCCATTGTTACATTCTTATGACGAGTTTCTTTGAAATCTGCTTGTCCAAAGGGGAAAAGAGTAGGAAATGCATCAATAGCTATAGGATGTGCACTGTTCTCATTTATTGGAGTACCACGCACGGGAGGTAAAGTCAAAATAATCTCAGGATTATTCCCAGTAGCAGCTGCAGCAAGTTGCTCAAACTCTGTTAAGCCAGAACGAATATTTGGTGCAAAACCTCCAGAAAACAGTGGTACACTGAAAGCCTGCTGCCAACAGGAAACACTGAGGGAGACACGCAGCAAGTCAACAGGACCGGGCTGTGGATTCCAAGGACGACGAGGTACAGGACAAGAATGACTACTGATGGTCACACAATGAGTGACACTATGAGTGAGTGTCACACAGATAAACCAGCGGGTTTACATACACCTGGATTTTCTGCATTCTGTTGAGGAGGGCCTTGATCCAAATTTGGCTGTAGATTTTCTACTGTCACATTTTGAAGCTGATTCATAACATTTGCATCAGCAGCAAAGGTGTTTAGCCGGTTCCAATCTATTTCAACCTGCCGTGATCGAAAGGTTGGATGATGCTGTTCCAAAAAAGACAACCACTGATGTAAAACTGCCTTTCGGACACGAAAGTCCTCATTGACAGTTTCCTGGTTAGCTGCAGATTGACGACGAAAAATAACAATTTCACATTCCTCTGGTAGAAGAGGAACTTTATTGTGAAATACTGCAGTATCTCGTGGAAAGTTACAGATATGCCCACGATAAGCATATTGGCCTCCATGAATCTGCCATACTTGGGTAAGGGCATGTACAGGTGAAATCAAAATTTCCTCCATCTGGGTTAAAGGAGGTAAAAGAGGAGCAATTCCAGGATCCATCTTGTTACCATCACAGAGTTTGTCAGACTTTTGACATTGTTTGCATTTTCCATCTTTAACCTGTAGATCAAACCACTTCTCATGGCAGGAGTTACAAGACTCCAGTTGAATATCCATTAATTTTTTACGGACATTTTTAAGCAAAGCACAATCTTCAGCAGATATAGCAAGTTGATCTAGAGGATCTATATCTTGATTCTGATTCACAGCAACTGGGTCTGCTATCTGTGGATTTACCTGCTGAGCAAGTTCCTGTTGTGCTGCTTGCATCTGTTGTACTCCTCTTCTCTGTTCTCTATATGCACGCTGACGGGCACGACAATGTGCACAAGTTTGGAAATTCCCAAAATCAGCAGAGGGCTGATAATGCTTTCCTGTGGTACAATAGAGCAAATTTTCATTATCTGGATGTGGATCTCTAGCTCTTCTAGTAGTTTCATCAGGTGCAGCAAGAATTTGAGGTTGTACTTGATTCTGAGCCTGTGGCTGGACCTGTGGTTGGTCTTGTAGCTGAGCCTGTGGTTGGACCTGTGGTTGGTCTTGTAGCTGAGCCTGTGGTTGAACCTGTGGTTGAGCCTGTGGTTGAGCCTGTGGCTGTAGCTGGGCCTGTGGTAGTTGTTGAAGTCCTAAAGTAGGAGATTGTGGTGGACTTTGCATTTCAATATCATCATCATCTGCTTGTGGAACTAAACATATTTAATTTTAATTTTATTCTTTTTATTTTTAAAAACCAAACCTGGCTGTAACTGTTGAGCCAATTGTTGCAGTTGATTGACAGGAAGGCCCATGTATTGATTATCTGCATGACCTTGCTGAAAGACATCAGCAGCAACTTGATTATTTTGAAGACCTAGAGCAGCTAGCTGTCCAGCTACCTCTTGAGAGAGGCTAAGATTTCTGCCATGATAGGGAACCTGTACTAAATTTGGTCTGCTAGGGCCAGCTTGAGGTTGCCTGCGTATATGTGGGCTATCAAGAACACGACCCTGTCTTTCTGCATGTTGAGCAGCTATTCTTTGGCGCTGAGGAGTATTTGGAGGAGTAGTCCTATATAGTTATTATTGTCTGAATAGAAACTTTAAAGTAAAAGATACATCAGGAGCCAAATGAATATCACTAGCAGAATACTATAGACACTTGGAAGTTGCATCAGCCCTGACTATTATTTTAGTCTAAACAAAAATTTATAAGGGATTCTAAGGACAATACCCAGAACAGAGAGGGAGAAGGGAAAGGGAAGAAGCAAGCACAAGAAACAGTCTTAAGTGGCCAGCTGCGAGCATTATCATTCATCTGAGCTAACTATGAGCTCGTTCGGACAACTCTGCCCGTCCGCCGCCGACTGCTGACTGCCACTTCGGAGATGTCCCGGATTGATTGATGCAGCGATCGGCGGGTCTCGTGTCAAGATAATGTCAAGATACACTTGTCAGGAGCGTCAAAACAGAGCACCGATGCTATCGCAAGTGGGTTATCGACTTCCATCGCATTGGCCACACTCTAATTGAATATTCTAGCCTGTTTGCCAAGATCTTCTGCGCTGCCCACCTAGATATTGATCGATGTTCCTAGATATAATGCTGATATTGATACATCTTGCTCTCAATGCCTCCCATTCCCCTTGATGTTGTCGCGCAGCAGTTCCAGCAATGGACTTCAAGTGCCATGATGGTTTCACGTCTTGTTGTCCTTGCAGCAACACTGTACACCAGCCGCTGGTACTATGCACAACCATATCATACCTCAAAGCTTACAGGGATTGACTGGGTGAACGAGCTTATTCTTGGACATCCAGAGCGTATATATAATGAGCTAGGCATGCATCTCCATGTTTTTGTGATGCTAATCATTGAGCTCCGTCAAATGGGTTATGTGGATTCAAGATATGTAACCCTTGAGGAGCAGCTTGCCATCTTTCTCTATTCATGCCGGACTGGAATGGGTTGTCGAAACATCGGGGAGCGCTTCCAGCGCTCAAATGACACAATCACCAAGTGTGTATTTCATTTTCACAATTGTGATTCTAATATTCTACAGATACTTCCGACGTATGACAAATGCATTTTCCAGCGAAGCTTTCTACAAGAAATATGTTCATCTCCCAACCACCCAGGACAATCCTGCACCATATCTTCAAAACAACCCCAAGTTTTGGCCATTCTTTGACAAGTGCTTGGGTGCTATGGATGGCTCACATATTGCCTGCTCAGTTCGGGAGCAAGATCGAGGAAACGCGCGCAATCGGAAGGGCTTTCTGTCCCAGAACATCCTGGCCATCTGTGATTTCGGATTCAAATTCATCTATATACTCTCTGGGTGGGAAGGGTCTGTAAGCGACTCCTTTCTCTACACCGACGCTCGTCTGAACGACCTGCCTATTCCGCATGGCTTCTTCTACCTGGGTGATGCAGGGTTTCCCCTCACTCGCTATCTTCTAACACCATTCCGTGGGGTCCGCTACCATTTGCAGGAATGGGCCAAAGGAAAGACAGCGCAAGTTGGTCTGGATACATATTAATTCCTAATTTCTGATCTATTGACAGTCCTGCAACACCAGAGGAGCTTTTCAATCTTCGCCATGCACAAGCTCGGAATATCATTGAAAGAATTTTTGGTGTCATCAAGGCTCGGTGGCGAGTTCTCGTCCTCCCCCCTCATATGATATCAAGCTGCAGGCTCGAATCCCTCCTGCTCTTGCAGCACTGCATAACTTTATCATTCAGCATGATCCCGAAGATCGTGTTGACCCGACTATTCGCTATGATCCTCATCCTGGTGTTGGGCGGAACGACTTTGACCCCAACCTGCATGGTCGACTTGCCACCGAGAGATATGTGCCAGCAGAGACAGAGGAAGGCAAGACTCTGCAGCGTCGCATTGCTGATGCAATGTGGGCTCAGTATCAGGAAGTCCTGGCTCAGGGTGGGCCAGAAGAAGATATTCCGGACAGTGATGAAGAGGACCCTGTAGACAATGGTAACGACAGTGGGATGAATTCAAGTGATGATGATGATTACGGGAATTAATGGAGAAAATAAAGAGTTTGTATGCTATCTGTAAAAAGAACCTACTTCTCAATCCACTGCCCGGCCCTTTGGAGCTCACGTTTCACCCAAAATTTTCGCTTCACCTCGCCTTGTCGGTCCCAATTTAGGTATGTATCAGCATTGTCCTTGTCCTTGATAATATCCCCAAGTGCCATCTGCTCCTCGATTGAGAGCCAGTCCTCCTGACCAGCAAGATCGGTCGCCTTGGAACGCCGCTCGGGGCTGGACAAAGCATTGCTCTCGCGGATCACCTGCGTGAAATTGTTGGTGCTTCTCTCGAACTGATTCCCGAAGCCAATGAGTGCGTTGCTGAGATTTTGTACTGCCTCAGCTGGCTTCAGCTTCGTAGATGCCTTGCGCGATGATGCGGAGACAGATGCTGCCAATGACTTGGATGGTTTGGCGTTTTTCGAAGGAAGTGGGGTGGTAGGTGGTGCAGTAATGAGTTGGGAAGGGGTCTGGGAAGTAGATTTGTTGCCTGCAGACGATTCGGTGTCACTGTCGATCTCAATCTCATCTCTGCTGGCCCCGAAGCCTGAGTTGCTGCCCGCACCATCAAGAATGCTGTTGTCGAAGAAGCTCTGGCTGCCCTGGGTGCCCTGCGACTCAAAGTCCATGGCCATCTGCTCAAAATCCCACAATGGGCTCCTATCGCCACTATTGAGCCCAGAAAAGTCAGGCATTTGAGGCATACTAGTGGACTCAGATGACAAGCCAAACGAGTCACTGCGGCCATCAGTTTGGGTGTCGAATATATTGTATCGAAGCTTCGACAGGTCCTGTAATGGGTCCTGGCACGCAGTCAAGGTGTCGGGAGTGGGTTGACTGAGAGGTGAGTTGGCGCCAAGTGGGCGATGGAGTCCAGCCCGGAAAACATGGTCACCCTTGGCTTTGGAGGGGTCCAATGATGCGAACCAGTCAAATGGAACCCAACCCTTGTTCTTGAATGGTGCGCACGCAGAGTTGACACGACAAATCTCGCGCCAGTCCTCCTGGTCCTCGGGAAGAATCATATTGGCGCCGAGCTCATCGCTCCAGGCACCCCCAGACCGACGCCCCTTGAGAAACACAACTGCACGGTAGATAGTCATGCACTGTGGATGGGTGAGGGACAAGAATGAACGAGCAACAGGCCACATACCTCGCCAATCTTCGTCTTCACACCCTTTGCCTTCTTCCAGCCGCCATATATGATCCGCTCATTGAGGTAGGCCGTGAGCTCGTTGATTATGGGTGGTTTGTACTTGTTGCCATCGCCAGGGACTGCTTTTTTGGCGAGTAGAAACTGCACGACATTCCAGAGGCATGTCAGCGTCCAAATTGCGTTGGCCGTTGTCGAGACTTGGTCAGCAGTGAGATAGGGTGGGTGAGCATCTGCCGTGATGTTGTTGTAGGGCTTATAGCCAATACCAGGCGCTTTCGGGGCCATAGACACAGAAAATAAGAGGAAAGAACGAAAGTGTGGCTTCAAAATATGATATCACATTGTACGTTACGCAGATCCGACTTGCTATCACATCTCCGAAGTGGCAGTCAGCAGTCGGCGGCGGACGGGCAGAGTTGTCCGAACGAGCTCTATATCAAGCCAATCTGCCTGAAAAGCGTTGCAAACAGCATGTGCTGTCAACGTGTCAAAGGTGACACGGGAGATCAGCCGAAATCACCCGGATGACAGAGGTCACACACAGGTGACAAACGCTCGCGCGTTTGGCTGCGCGCGCGGGCTGCTTACCAAGCGCTGACTAATATATCCAAGGAGGTTATTCGCGCAGGTTACGACATCAACGGGAAACGGTACCCTATATCAGAAATGGGGGGAGCTTGCGACCCCCATAAGTATAACCGCAGGACCCACTCGCAAAATTCGACGAAAAAATTCAACTATAAGCATCCAGAATGCCGGACGTCCGGCAGAGCTGGCTTTCGGCGCTTCCGGATGGAATCGCTGAAGCAATCATTGACAATTTGATCCGCTCATTGGCCATCTGGTGCGTCAATTTCGTGGTTGATTCGGACCATGATCGTAAGTCGAGGGGACCGACATAACGCGCGAATCGGTGCTCCTCTTTTCCGTTCCTGTTTCCGGCTTGTTTTCCGAGTTTAGATCCGTTCTACTTCCCCCATCCAGACGATGATTATTTGCGCAAATCGAAAAGGTGCTTGGCAGCACACCTCTGTTGGTTGCGGTGAAGAAGCCGTCTGAAGCCTTCTTCCTTCTGTTCGCCCGTCCCAGTATCCTTCGATGCCGGCAGTCTCAACGCTTCAATTGCAGACATTTGTTCCCAGCATCAAGACAAGCTGTTTTCTTTTTTTTTTGTTGGAGGGCCCGGGCGGACATATAATATTTCCTCGGAGTTGGCCATGCGTGCGCGCTATAAACACGCGTCTCCTCACTACCACGCCCACCGATGCCCCTCGCTGCCGCCCCCACACTCATCCAAGATGTACTCCGTTGGAATGTGGAAACCCGCCCACAATCTCCCTTCTACGTCTTCGCGGAAGCTGAATCAGCAGCCCCTGAGCGAATAGTGACGATAACGCATCTCGAGTTTACGAGGGCCGCCCACCGTGCAGCGCGTCTCTTGGAGGGGGAAGATGGACAGGTAGTGGCCGTCATCGCGCAATCAGACACTGCTGTTTACCATGCAGTCGTTGCGGGACTCATCACTGCTAACCTTATCGTGAGTGGCAACCTCCTAGCGAACGCGTTTTCTCTGACCAACAGCGATAGCCATTTCCCATTTCTCCACGCAACTCCCCAGCAGCCATAGTCAACCTCCTCCGCAAGACGTCCTGTCGGCGGCTCGTTTCGACATGCGTGACACTCGCGCCACTTTTACGCCAGATCAACGACGAGCTTGAATCAGAATATGGGCTGGTGGTCGAGGAGATGCCGCTGCTGAGTCTGATTTACCCCCATCTCGGCCATGAAACGGAGCAACACGAATTCGAGGAGTATCCACGACCACAGAAAACGCCAAGTTTGGACGATGTGTGCTTGTACTTGCACTCTTCTGGGAGCACTGGCATGCCTAAGGCCATTCCAGAAACGCACCGAGGTCTGATGCAGTGGACTCGTTTGGGTAAAAGAATTACTTTATTCCTCCCATCCATCTGATCGGGACTGTAGGCACCGGCAACGATATCCGGGAACACATTCCACATCCGATAGCTGCGATGCCCATACCTACCTTCCATATGGGCGGCATCTTCGTCCAGTTCCTCAACCCCATCTACAATGGTGTCGCAATTGCGCTGTACCCGCCGACAGCCACGACCCCAGATGCCCTTCCCATTTTCCCGTCGCCTAATTCAGTTCTCGAGCATTCCATCAGGACAAAATGTCGCTCCATGATTACCATACCGGCATTACTCTCCGGCCTCGCTCATTCCCCCGAGGCGGTTGAGTTTCTTAGCACACTTGGGCTAGTCGCGTATTCAGGCGGGTCGCTGCCAGACTCGCTAGGCAAGAATCTCGTCAATGCTGGTGTCAAACTGGTCAACCTCTATGGGGGCACAGAGTTTGGTGCAGTTTCATACGCCATTCCTTTGGAGGGCGACGAGAGGGAGTGGGAATATTGTCGGTTCGTAGAGGGAGTAAATGTGCGATGGGAGCCGCAGGGAGATGGGACATTTGAGTGCCAATTTCTCGTGCGTATATTCTTGGTTATGCTTATATTCTCTTCACTCACCAAAGCGCAGCATTCGGACTCACATACCGTTGCCATCGAGAATTTAGACGATGTCAGGGGCTACGCGACCAACGACCTTTGGATGCCGCATTCAGAAAAGAAGTACCTATGGAGAATGCAGGTTTCATGTCCCAGTTGTTGACTGGACTAATATCTGGCTTCTAGGGTTGGGCGGATAGACGATGTGATTGTTCACTCGTCTGGAGAGAAGACTGTGCCAGCGCCGATAGAAGATGTCGTCTCGGGAAGCCCTCTGTCCGTTGTCGCCTCGCCTGCTACCCCATCTCATCTTTGTTCAACAGCGTTTCCGGGGTCGTGATGTTTGGCTGGAAACGCGACGAGGCCGGGATCCTGATTGAAACGATTCCCAGCGCACAGATTGACGTGCATAGCGAGGAGGCAGTTACGCAACTACGCCACCAGCTCTGGTATAGCTTTCCTCCCTATGAAATCAACGCTCAACGCTCAATCAGGCCGATAATAGAACAGGCGAACCAACATGCGCCTGCTTTCAGCCGAATATTTAAGGAGATGATCCTATTCACTTCTGCTAACAAGCCTTTACCCCGGACGGGCAAGCGAACCGTCATGCGCAAATTAGCTTTGAAGGAATATGCGGAGGAGATCGACGCCTTGTACGTATTTCAAGATGATGTTATAAGAGCTCGATAACTGAAGTTAGTACACCAGATATAGATTGGTCGGGGAGAAGGCGGTCAGCGTCAAGCTGCCAGAATCGTGGGAGGTGGAGAAACTGAAGGTCTGGCTAACTGAGCTGGTCTGTGAACTACTTAAAACCGAGCAAATATCGCCGGAGCTAGACTTATTCCACCAAGGTTTTGATAGGTGTGTGCTGTTAGCATGATATACTCTTTATTGACCATTCTTTTACCAGTTTGAGCGCCACTTTCCTCAGAATCCGTATCGTTGCCGCCATTAGGTCTGCCAAGATCACCAAAAGCACAGTCGACGTCCACCAAAATCTCATCTACACCTACCCAACTATCTCTCTATTGGCCACCTTCCTAAGCAGCCTTGTCTTTGGACGAAGCAAGGGCGACATGACAGAGCCACAAGAGTTCATCGACGCCTTCATCGCAAAATATGCCGGCAACTTCCCTGTCCCTGTAACTACCTCGCCGACACGGCGACAGGACGACACGGATGTCGTTCTTCTGACCGGATCAACGGGGAATTTGGGGTCAGAACTTTTAGCTGCATTGTTGCAGAGCGAACGGATTTCCCGGGTTTACTCGATGAACCGTGCTGGGGCCCCCCGCGTTGGATCGGCATGCTGCTCGGTTTCGCCAGCGTAGTCTGGATGTTGGGCTGTTAGAATCACCAAAGCTCGTATTTGTCGATGGGGCGACAGACAGGGAGCAGCTTGGGCTGAGCGATGAGCGATATGCTGAGGTAAGCATCATGCCCTCGCGTTTTCCTTATTTGACGATTTTTTGGCGAAAAGCTGCAATCTTCGGTTACACTCATCATACATAATGCGTGGAGACTCGACTTCAACCTCTCCATCGTGTCTTTTGAGCCACACATAATTGGCACGAGGCGGCTGGTGGAGTTGGCGCTGTCGAGTGTGCAGCAGCCAAGGATTGTGTTTACGTCGTCGATTGCGTCGGCGATGAGCTGGAATCCGTCACGGGGTCCATGTCCGGAGGAATTTCTAAGCAGTGATGGGGTCGCTGTTGGAACGACTGGGTATGGGCAGAGCAAGCTTGTCACGGAACAGGTAAGGGGTCCAAATTAGTTCGGTATCGTTGACCAATCCGTGCAGATTCTGGCACGAAGTGGTTTGTCAGCTTCCTGTCTTCGAATTGGGCAAGTCTGTGGCTCGCTGCCGACCGGCGCATGGGCTGTCAGTGACTGGGTACCAATCCTCGTTAAGACGAGTGTGACATTAGGGTGTCTGCCGCTGGCGCCAGGAGTGAGTATATTTCTTCCAATGAATTTTGTATTGCTGACTTGAGGCGTCAGTTGGTATCATGGATCGACTTCGACACCATTCGCGATGCGATATTGGACGTCGCCTTCAACCACAATTCTGAGGCCACGGTTTTCAATGCGGTACACCCACGTCCCGTGTCGTGGGACTTCGTTATCACTGCCCTGAGGGATGCCTTGGTAGAGGAGAGAAATACGACCCTAGAGCTGGTTGACTTCGCAGACTGGTTTGCACGCCTGGAGGTTGCGGCGCTTGACGCGAGCGGGGAGTCTCTGGTGAGAAAATGAATCCCTTCCATTGTTTTTGTTCTGTGCTGAGGATAAACACACAGCCTGGCCTTAAACTGCTCGACTTTTTCCACTACCTATCCACTGCGGCGGCGACGACGACGGCTAACCCCGAGTTTGGGTCAATCGCCTTCAAGATGGACAAGCTGCAGGCTATTAGCCAGGCGGTGAGGCTTGTGGAGCCGATATCGGCGGAACAGGTCCGGGCGTGGGTGAGGTATTGGGCCGCCGCCGGGTTGCTGTAGATATTGAGGACTGTATTATCTCTGAGGAGTCTGCGAGAGGACTCACTTGCTTTCACTTTGCTTTGATGTCTGTTATTTTGCTGCGACGTGGACCGTTCAGCTCCAAGTCTGAAAAAAACGCACAATTACTTACTGCGATGTTGCAGCTCTGAGGAGAACACGAGGAGAAGTCCGCAAGTTGAACACTAACTATGGCGATAGCATAAGTGCAGCAAGACGAAAAACTGTTTCTTCCCGCGCGCTCGAACGGCTGAGACTGTCAGGTCAGAAGAAAGGATGCTTTGACCCAAACTCTAATGGTGGCGGTGTCTGCTTACCAACTCCACCCTCCACTTCGACCATCCTCTAGCCGCCAGTGAGGCTCCTTGCGTCGAAACTTGAAATGCAAGCTATCAGGCATCTGGCCACTCCAATGCCTTTCCCAAACAAGAAACCAGATTATGAAGATGACGTTTTGTGGAAAAAACCCATGCACATTCACCATCAAGGCCAAAGCGCACAATTTCCTATAAAGCTGGGACCTTTGAGCGTTGTTAACTTGCATCGCTCTTCCCACAATCCTGCTGACTTCAATGCTTAATCCAGTTCGCCGACTCATGCGGCGCTTCAGACCAACACGCAACGCAATCTTGCATGATAATACTGGTGGCACAGCGTCAGAGCCCGGCGAGGCCAAAGTGCCAAAGAACTCTTCGATACCGCCCACCCCCACAAACACAAGTGCAAAAGCTGCCAAGCGCACCCGTCTCTTTCCACCGCCAGATTCAACAACTGAAGAAGGCCCGCCGTCTATCGTATGGCTTTTTACATTATCTTGCGGTTTTTCATGAAGTTTGTCAGGTCTTCCATAAGCCTATAAGCGCGAGCGACTTGGTGGTCAACTACATGGACGAAGAGGAAGTGCCAGAGATCATTGAACGAAATGAGGGAGTAGAAGCGCGATGGCTGAAGAAACACGCTTTTCGCGGCTTTCAGCGCTGTCTCTGTGCGCACCGTAAGGTCTTGTGCTTCTGCTATCGATTACCTGGAACGGTTTGTGTTTCGACGAACCTAGAATTATCATTCTGATCAACTTTGACAATAGCGGCGTCGAGCCTCTGCCATTAATCGTCTCCCAATAGAGATCCTTGATATGATCCTCGCGGAAGCCCTGCCGCCCAACTGGCTTTTGGATCCGTCGCTAAAATGCGGACCGGACTCAGCTTGGTGCCACGCGATGACGATGAAGCGGAGTCTAAGTCTGGTCTGCAAATATTGGTACTCAGTGAGTGCGTTCATCAGGTATCATGCCTGCCCAGTGACATTCCGACTGCAGGCCATGGTCAAATTCTTCTACCGCGACATAGCTATTCGCCGCGCTCCCCAGCTCTTTTGTCTTGCCCAGACCCTCGCGCGCTGCCCTGACTTCGGCAATGACGTTCACAGTTTCACAATGATGTGCTATGTGCTCAAAGAAGACACCGAGTTGGTGACGAATGCGCTTTCAGATATCTGGAAGAAATGCCCCAAGCTTAAACAAGTTGCACAACTTTCACCATTGGAGCTCCCGTTCCCGTATCCCCTACCCGCACTACCCGTGACCGTGGAGCGACTTGACATCGGCCAATTCGAGTCGCCTGAGCTGATTGCCAACCTCCTCTCGAAGCACTGCAGCCAACTTCGTGAACTTTCTGTTCCTGGTCTTGACAGCGAGTTGCTGGACCTCCCCTTCGCTTTCCCGCACCTCGAAACGCTTCATGTCTTGCGTTGGAACATTGCGGGCTCCCAGCTCTCCAAATTTGGGACCCAGTGGTCGATGCCAAAACTTAGAAACCTTCGTTTTGCTGCCAGGCAATTTCAAATCCCAACTTACGACCTGATCCTCCGCCACCACGGCCGCAACCTCGAATATCTTGAATTCCCCAATATATACACTCACCAGCACATCCGTTCGGGCGGGTATTTGGAAGATTACCAACCTCTCCTCCAACTCTGTGGAAAACTGAAGCATGTTGTGCTCCCGATGCACCATTTTCTCGGGTCAATTCCACCACCTCATGCTCGTCTTAGCCCGCCTGAGGAGTATCTGAGGGGCATAGAGCGAGTTGATATCTGGCACACCGACATCCACAAGGAGCATTGGTTTCCTTGGGAATCGACTTTGGGCCCGTACAACTGGCCATTCATCACGGGCAAGTTTGGTGACTGCAGACAGTTTCGCTTCATCGATGTCGCGCTAGCTGCTATCGTTGAGGGAATCCCGCGACTGATAGACACTGATATTCGCGGGCGATGGTCGTGTTGGGGAATGGAGATCTTGCAACAACACGAAGACAGTGGCCGAGGCCAGCCACGACGTCTTGCGTTAAAACTGGGAGACTTCCCGCTCATCAACGAGTGGGGTAACACATATTTTGGGAAGCTGGAAACACATGCGGTAGTGCGCGACCAAGAGGCCTGGAACAAACTCGGTCGGGTTCGCCGGGCCGAGAAGGAGGTTGACGGGCCGGGTCCGCTTCGGCGTGGAGGAACGGTACAACGATTCAACTCGTTACCGCCGGTGCCTAATGACCCGGAGGACACTATTCCGGGGCCTTATGAATATACTAGCGCTGAGAAGCTGGCGGAAAGGCTGAAGGATGAGACAGATGATGAGGATGAGGGCGAGTTGGTGGAGGAATATGTCGCTGATTTGAATGACGAGTTTTATCAGAGAACTTAACCTTTTACATTACCCCTTGCTTTCTTGTCGCCACATTTGCATTACTTTCGTAAGCGACTGGGAGGTCTGAATTTTGGGTTGAGGATGTAACGAGCAGTCAAGTTCACACATCTTTACGGTCACAAATAAAGATTGAGCAATTATAAACATATCACTAGGACGAGTAGTATGATCATAGTTGAAAGAAATCAAGTGTTCTGCACGGTCACTTGGAATAGATAAAGTGTTCACTTAAGTAAGCAAAGCATCGACCCTTTGGAGCTACTTATGATTAGATGGGATTTAATTGAAGGAACTGGCAACAGGAAAGCAAACTCACATCCGTTATTAAACTTCGTCAGGGTTGGGGTGACGATCGGCCCAATTCTGACTCAAGTGGTAATTGGAGCAAACCGAAATCTGCGAGAATGTCTGGTTTATCCTGGATTGGTTTAGCAGTAACTTACCACGAGGGGTACAAAAGGGTAGACATCGTGGTCCTTGACGTCGAGGCATTTGTCGGTTGTGCCCCAGCGGAAACGAGAAGAGATCTTCTTGTCGTAAACCTTCTCCGCCGTCCATTGTTGGTTGGGGTTGTTCGGACTGCAGACGCCGATTTGGACTCGGGCTCCGTCTGTGTTCTCATTTCTTTCAACTTGGAGACACTAGATTTGGTTGCGTCAACGAAGAAAAAAAAACTTGAGCAAACAGAGCACACCTTGTCACCGTATGCCTTGATCTGCTGCGGGCCAACATTCTGCCCCGTAGAGAAAGCGACGTCCCACTGGCGGCCAAGATTCGGACCGCTATCATGGCACTCGAAGATCAAGGCAGGTGCACCATCGCGGTTCTCCTCCACACCTACACAGGGGTGGCTCCAGCCTGCGTCTAGGAAATATGGCAAAGATTAGATATTTTGATTCAGAGGTAGAAGAGCAAATGCTCACGCGCCGCGTTGTGGAAGTCCCTTGCGGCAGCAGCAGTGAGTGCCATGGACAAGAGACTGACGAGGACGTGGAACTTGGAGAGCATGATGGCAAGAGGCGCAGTGAAGTGAGCCTGATGAGGAACTTCAGAGCATTGAAGTGAAGTACTTGAGGTTTTATAGTGAGCCGGAAAATCGCTCGCGCGCCAAGTGTATCATCGTTTCGTCTTGTTTATTCCGTTGTAACGGCCATAGTCATCTATTTCAATCCTATCCTATCCTATCATCCTGATCAGACCTTGTTTAAGCATTGTTTGAATATCGGTCACTAGCTAGCAAATCGAGGCTCGCTATTTTCGTTGCGGGACAGGCCGAGAATCTTCGCAAAAGGCCTAGGATTCATGTGTCCGAGGGATCACATTGTGGGTTTTGAAGCGCATCAACGGCGTACCACAGAGAACACGACCTCCGGCCAGTCTGCTTGGATGTTGAGCAGCCGGAGAATCGATATTCTTCGATATTCATCCAATACCTAGTCTCGAAACCCGACGTTCCGGTTTTCGCCGATTCTGCACGTGAGTTTTGGAGGTTGATGTGCAGGAATGGCGACCGGAACGTCTGGGGCAGTTCGTATAGAGATTGACAGATCCTCAAGCTGATGGCAACTGTCAGCCAGCCAAAATCTGTCCTTTCACCAAAATTAGGCCTTTTTTGAGTCCTCTTGCCATTCAACGACGCCTCCGTTCGATCCAGAAAAAATTGGAGCGCAAAGCTCGTCTTCGAAACTCCTGGCTCTGCGCTTTTTTGGGCCCAAAAGTTGCATGGGGGCGTGAGAAATCGCTTCGCCAAGGATCTGCTATTTCTGATGCAAACTGCCCCAGACGTTCTAGAGAGAATCCCTGCATCAAAAACTAAAATCAGTCACGTGGACCGGTCGGCAGGACTCCGCTCGCGCAGCGAGCGATTCTCGAAAGAACGTCGGGGTACGAGACTATCCAATACCGAAGTTTGAGTCGAACGGAAGGCGCAGGACATCACGTGCGACAATATGTCGAAGCCGCAAAGCCGGTTTTGATGGATGCTTTCAATGCCAGTCACCAATAGGGTCTATACTAACTCACTGAGTTGCGGTCGCGATCACCGGCACAGATGGTGCGTCAAGACAGTTTGGGAGCTCAAGAGCTGTGTACATAGGTCTCAAACAAGAAACGCTCCGAGTCGTGCTATACGACGATCAGCCTAGTTCAAGTCCTACGTTTCGTTTTTGGCACGGTCCCATCTTAGACTACAGAAAAGCAAATTCGGGATAGAATAAATGAGACTTATGATATTTTACATCAACGTACTGTTGTGGTCGTTTGAGGGTTACACAGCTTGAGCTTTGCTGGGGCGACATTTGTGCAACACAACAACAAGTTGGGCCATTTCAAAAATACCAGAAGCTACATCCACCGTCCAAAATTGGTTCAAAGGCTCTATAGCAAACTCCATCGACACACGACGGCTCGTAACCTCTCCCAAAGTCCTCGACTGGACGCAGAAACTTTCCCGCCGTTGCAATAATTTGCGGGTACAGCCAGCGTCACTGTCTCGGTCTGCCAAGCACCCGGAATTTCTTGGTAACCCGGAGCTCGATCGCGCACGATGCTCACCATCGGCGACGGCTGGACCATGTAGCCCACATCGATGGGCTTCTCTGAGAGGATAACTTTGATTATCTCAGCCGTCCGCTCTGTCCTGGCTTCGTCAAGCACAACACGTAGTGCGGGTTGGGCGTCTCGGACCGAGGAAGACTTCATTGTGGGAGTGCGGCCAAAAACGAGCGAGGAATGTGGTGGGAGTAATTTAGCTTTGCCATCTTCGGAGAACGACGAGTAGAGGACCTAGAAAACTGTTGATGAAAGCGTTCACTTGAACCCGGCGTATCTCACCTTGATCGCGTACGTAGCCGTGTCGAAGTGAACCAAGTAGGGATACATCGCCTGCTCGGTGGGATTCGTGATTCGCAGGCCAAAAACATGGTCGTTGGGGACACCCTCAAGATAAGCGACACCCTCACATAGAATATTTGGGGACACCTCCACAAGAGCTCGTTGGTCGTCACCTTTGTAGTGATATAGCTCGACAAATGAAGTTGGCAGAGGTTTGGCGTTCAACCAGAATAGGCGCGCAAACCATGACACAGTCGTTTTGGCCAACCCCAACTCGAGGTGGTGCTGAAAATGCGCAATGGCGTTGAGGGTGGGTACCGCTTCCGCTAACTTGATGGATGCTTTGGGACTGCCATACTCAGCAACAAGTCCTTGCAAACGCTCCACACAGCCTTGCCCAGTAGTTGATGCATTCAAGGCCACACTCGCGTCACGTCTGTTGGCGACGACATAGAAGTCATTTTCTCCACCCAGATCGACATTGGTCGAGAATACTCGGAGCTTTTGGATAGGAAGAAGCCGCGGGGCAGTGAACAAAATTCGATCCAAGTATTGTCCGTGGCAGGCGGGAATCGACCCACGTCCGTTGGCAAGAGATCGTTGCACCAGAACGGCGACTTCGCGGCAGCTCAAAGGCCATGATGACCGCAAAGTGGACATAAGCGCCTGCGAAAACGTGCCTCCTGCCGCCGACTCAGTGCAATTCAGGTTCTTCTTGCTAGCGGCAATCAACACATACGCTTGGGCGTCTGTGAAGAATCCTCCGTAGTCGGACGAGCTATTTTCGCGACGATAGTCTGCGAGATGTGAGGGCCAAGATGGATCTTGAATCCGACGAACACTCGAAAGCGACATAGTCTCTGAGAAAGAACAATCTAAAATGATTGTCTAGAAGCCATGAGAGGTTGATCATGAGAATGGACTAGGAACACTAACGACATTGGATCCTTTCTTGATGAGTTCTTGCGCGAGGTTATGTAGGGTGACATCGAAGATGGGCGGGACATCGAGAGAATAATCATAAGGAATGAGAGCGTCGACCTTCCTACTTGTTGCATTCAGCCGCTGGCCGTATCCAGCAAAATAGATCAAAACAGCGTCGTCCGTCGAGATTTCTCCGTTCTCTATCAGGTCGGTAGTAACGGTCTCGATAACATTTCTTCTAGTCGCAGCCTTGTTGGTCAAAGTGCGAATCACTGCCTCAGGGTATCGTAGAAGGAGAACCTCCCTCAAACTGTTGACGTCTTTGACACAACCCCGCAAACTTCGGATTTTGGAAGATGCATACTGCGAGTTGCTAAGTAAAATGGAAAAGGAGGAAAGTTTCAACTGACCTCGTCGATACCGATGCATAATGCATACAGTTTTGGAGCCATGGGTAGTCTATTATTACGAAAAGTTGTCGATTGCGATATATAGTGCGCCTCCAAAGCTATGCCGATGAAAGCCCACGAAACTGTCTGAGCAAGACTATCACTTGTTGGAAAAGATCCGTAATGGATGAAGGACGTGGCCAACGAGGCACACATGAGAGTGATTGAAAACCCCGAAAAGACAAGTGGCGTGCCGAGTCTGATATGCTAGCGACGCGTTCGTGGACACTGGAAACAGTTCCATAAAATGCCGCAAGTGCGTGGTCTTGAACGTTAACACGAGAGGCCATGCGAAAGCATGCATGAGATCGTTGACAATTTGATCAGAGGGATCTAGAGTAACATAGGTCTGTTCCAGACGGACGAGCGATTGAACACTATGTCTGTATCAGGATGATGGGAAACCCGAAGACCATGGATAACAGTAGCAAGGCCAAGCCTCAAGAGATTGTTCGCAGCTTGGGTGGAGTCGATCGGGTCGCCGTGGCACAGACGCCTAACAGGAGGAGAGTGTCTCAACTCCTTCGCCATGCCAACTCCATTCACCTTTCCGGATTGTCATTGTCCGCTGATGAAGTTCAAGTTTTTTTCGACGATAGATAACGATGCTCAGTGTGGCCCCAGTATACATAAGCATGTGTTGCCGATTTTGGAGATGGCTTGATCGGCAATCCGGAAATGAACGTGGGCTTTACTCGAGGGTTTGCGCGAAGGCGGGGAAACGATTTCTCTCATGGACAATTCGACTGGAAATATCACCAGATAGCACCATCAGCGCTCTATTGAGGACCTTGGTGCGAGTAAAGGGTAACAATATGATGGACAGGAGCAGAATCTCGTACGCGAACTCGAAGCGCAAGGAGCCCACAAAGATCGGTTTTCGTGCTGATAACGACGCGTATATTTTCTGGCCGCGTGCGGAAAGGCATAGAGCGTACAAGTGCCAAAACACGCTATGGCCGATGCAAAACCATTGGGACTTGTGGTCAAATTAGCGACGTTGATGGATGGCGGACGAAAGGCATGCCCAAATTATGCTGCTCTTCTCCAGCAGCTTGATTTGAAAATGTAGCCGCTGTAATCTCCTGGAGCTCATGGCACGCTCGTCGATCACCTCTTGTTTACAAAAACAAGGTTTCGTCTTCAAGGCGTCGACAACGAGGACGGTGACTTTTGTGTGTATGCAGGCGAGATGCATGGGGTCGTGGAGGGAACGAGAATGGTGGCAGTTAATGGGGCGGCGCTCGAGTATATGGACATGAGCCCACTAGCTTCGACTGCGAAGGGAGTGCGACATCCGAAAGACCATTCTTCCATTTTGTGATAGACACAAAGAAGTGGAATGAAGGTTCATTCCACAGAAGTAACGCTAGACACGCGAGCGAAGTATGCTTTCCAAGTAGCCAATACCATCAGCGCTGCAGACGTTATATTGGGATTAAATCCCCCGCAGCCTGGAGACACAACACTAGTAATCGGGAGCACTGGTTAGGCTCTCTTCAGGCGTCGGGATATCGTCGTCCTGTTCGTGGACGAAGTGTCAATGGGTGGGTTGTGGAAGCTCTGAACAACGGCCCATGTCAAGCACCACCTTTGAGTTGGGCGGGAAAGGGCGGATGTAAGCGACGAGATCGAGTTGCTGTACCGCATGAAGCATATGCGAAAGACACCTGATAATCTGTTCAACGAGCAGAAAGAGGCAAAACTAAGCATACCGAGACAACGGAAATTACAAGTATGGATTCGAACCCATAGCGAGGGCCAACAGCCGACAGTATGGATTTGCTTTCGACTTGACCACCTTTGCGATCACGCTAAGTCGTCTCTTGCTGGTCGAGGTCTTTGCTGAAAAGTTGATCAGCCCTATATCTCCGCAGTTGTGTCTACCTCGGCTTGCCTCGTGCCAAACCCTATCGTGAACGCCTACTATGGTGCCACACCACTCGGGTTGTGTCTGAATGGAAACCAATTTCTATCGCTTATGTTAAATTCTATGTTTGTTCTCACAACATCAATATGTCCCACATACCTTGGAGAGGGGTGTGCATTGGAGCGACATCGCTGGACCGGACCATTCGGAAGGTCCTACCGATGTGGTGATAAATATGGTGGATGATGAGGTGTCCTGGGATGTGTGGACGGCCAGGATACACAGTCTCTGACCCATCAGTTGCGTACGGGTAGATTATTGAGAATTATGGATACTTACTGAATCTTCATTCAGACGAAGGTACGGGTAATCGAAGTCAAGTAGGAAAGACAAAAAGAGAAGGAAGCCCAGGTCGTCACGTGGCGTGACATTTCGACCATGAAGCCACTATGAAGCCTTGAAGGAAACCAGCCACTGGCCGGAAAAGTTCACGCTAAACGCCTCGAATACTTCTGATTTCGCAGGCAACTCACGAGTCTCTGGATAATCCAATTTTTACCACTGAAACTCGTTTGGACGAATGATCCACTACTGTACAGCAGACAAATGTTGGCAGGCTTCGAGTCAGCGCGCCTGTAACACCTCAACTTGTGGAAAGTTCTTTCACACCCCAACCAGGGCCGATTTGGTTGAACAGGTAAGAACTGGCTTTCATGATCTAAGACTTCTCTAGACATGGCAGTATCCTCCATTCCAAATCGTTGTCCGGAAGTTTCATTGCGGAAGCAGCTAATTCTCATAAATGCTGCACCGATTTTTAACAGCCCCACTCTGTTTTTCTCGTCTCACTTACTATGAACCGATACTTACGAATCAATTTCCGCGATGATGAAGACGAGGCTATCACTCATCGACTACTTCCTCACCATAACAATGACACACACGAGGGCTGGCATCTCTCACCGCTCCATCGGAGGCGTACTCCTTGTCGTCATTGGATGCCCTTGGTCGGCGCCCTTACCCTCCTTGGCATCTGCTCTGGTGTCGTCTATCTGCCTCCGGCACGCACCTCTACGTCGGGCTCCTCGGGGGTTTCTTCTACCGCCCTAATTTGGTCTCCCTTCGCCGCCGTCTCAGATGTCCCATCAGCAGACCAGGACATCATCGACCTTTATGCTCGGCAGTCAAAAACCCTCGAGGAAGCTACAGCACGGTATACGCTCAAAACCGGCCGACAGCCTCCGCCAAATTTCGACAAATGGTTCCAGTTTGCGCAAGAGGGTCATTGTCTCATCGACGACTATGACCGCATTGACCAAGACTTTGCGCCATTCTACCAGCTGGCCAACCAGAACCCTCGGCATTTTCGTAATATGGTCGAAATGGGCCACGAGTTCATGCGCGACGATGCTCGTGGACTCTCCGTCATCAGTGTGCGACAGGGCAAAGTTGAACTTCCTGACGACATTTGGGGCACTCCTTGGGACATCGACTTGGAGGAGTTCATCAACGAATTCGGCTACTTCATTCCCGATATGGACCTTCTTCTCAATGGCAACGACGAGCCCCGTGTCGCTTTCAACGCCCGACGACCTAACGCCCTAAAGAACGCAATGCAACTCAAAGAGGCCGATCCTTTCCGCGTCGAACCAGTCCCCACAGCCGACTTCTTTCGAGGCAGAGACGGATGCGACATGGCCCAAACTTCGAGTGGATTTGTCAAAGACCCTGTCAATAGCATTGCTTGTGCGTTCACCGCTTTTTTTGTAGTTATTCTACTGACGTTGATACTCAAGTCTTTGCATCGACTTCCACCTCTGGTTTCAGCACCGACCTTTGGCCCATGCTGAGCATGGCAAAGATATCGCCTTGCTTTTCGGACATTGTCTATCCTAACGCAGTACGTTCACTATCATTTTTGCACCATCAAAACTGAAGAAGGTCAACAGTACTTCTACGATAAGTCCGGCTGGTCTGGCCAATTCTCCTACCCCGATGATCTCGACTGGAGGGACAAACAACCGATTGTCTACTGGCGCGGTGTATCTAATGGCGGCCATATCTACGGTGACAACTACCGGAACTTCCCTCGTTTCCGCCTCATGGACATCGCACGCGACCATCCCGAGCTCTTCGACGTCCGCATCTCGAGTTTTGCCGACAACCATTGTACGGAAGACTGTGACGCGGATCGTATCATCGAGGAGTACAACATCACAGGCGAGGGTTCGGCCAGAGAGGATCTTTATGGGTCCAAATACGCGTTGGATGTCGACGGTAACTCGTTCAGCGGCAGGTTCCTTGGACTGTTGAGAAGCGGGTCACTTGTTTTCAAGGTAAACATCAACCCTCTCTCACATGTTCGCTCTAATAATCTTTTGACAGGCCACGGTCTTCACCGAATACTTCTCCGAGTGGCTGCTTCCCTACGAGCACTTCATCCCCGTGAACCCTGACTTGTCCGACCTTGTGGAAAAGATCCAGTGGGCGCGGGACAACGATGAAGAGGCGCGCAAGATCCAGCAACGAGGGTTACGATTCGCCACCAAAGTTGTGACCGACAAGCAAAACGACTGCTACCTTTCGAGACTGTTGCTAGAATGGTCACGGCTACAGAACGATCCGGCAGCCGCTTCCACGAGCGAAGAGACGGAGGAAGTAGAATACCTCGCCAACGAACAGACGGAGGGACCAGAATACCTCGGCAATGAAGAGACAGAGGAACCGGAATACCTCGCCAACGAAGAGACGGAGGAACCAGCCAACAACGAATAGATGCTTTTAATGTATTAGTAGTGGAGAATCCAGTTCTAGCTGGCTCAAGTTTCTATGCGCGGCTGTCGTTGTGTTCTTCAATCTTCTCTCCCACCCGCCGCAGTGGATTTTTATTCAATCGGCGCATCAATTGACCATCATTGACAAGCTTCCGCGATTAATTTCGGATTCAATAAGTATATGTACGATGTTCTCGAGGTGTTTTACGGCGTGCCAATTTGGAGATCTCTCTGATTTTTTCTGACACAGTAACCCTTCAGTTATTGTGGTAGCTCTACCATGGGGGACATAGTATAGTTACTTCATGAGCTCGGCTATTCAGTAACAGGGAGGGCCAGGGGCGAAGGTGTAGATGCTTAGTGTGCACACCGGGATAACTCCTGGAAACCGGCGTTCGTCAGTCGAACCGTGCCGCGTATCAATCCAATCCAATCCAATACTGACTGCAGGATCTACAAGTAGTAGACTCTCGCAGCCATAAGTATGTCAATGGCCCTCAGTTGGCGGAACACCACCGCCGTCTCCCAACACTAAACCTCCATGAAGAGTCCCTACATCGAATTATTCCTTCTTTACGCCCTCAATTTAGTAGCCGCGGGAGCCCAACTTTTCTTGAAGGCCTTAAATATCCGATTTCGCAGCCACGGAGAAGAACGACGACGGTCAATCGCTTCCATTTTCGCCATTATCGGTGCAAAAACACTCATTTTTGTACTCTCACTGCCGCCCGTTCTTGCCGTCGTTCTCTCCACACCATGGGACGGCTTTCTGGTGACCAGGACGCATCTTTGCGCGAAGTTCGCATCTATTCTCCGCTGAATACGCTGCTCAAGGCTTTGAACAGGGTCATCATGCTTACTTATCTCTTCGATTTGACCTACCGCCGCGCCAACGCCATTCTATGGGTCCACCACACCCTCACATTCGCGGCCATCCTTTTCATCCTGCGCAACACAAGTCCGTCAGCGCCGGGAATCGCCGGCCTATGGATTTCGATCCCCGCCGTTTTCGCAGGGGTCGGCATTGGCGTAACTGATATCGGAGGCGACATCGCGGTTCTGCTCTACTACATCGCGCCGCAAAGCATAGCAACGGCGCAAGCAATTCGTGCGTGTGGAGGCTATCTCATGCTGGGACGGGCGACGGGATGGTCGATTGTACTGGCGTTCGTTTCCCGAGGCCATTGGAAAGCCTTGGAACTGAATTTCCCGATGACAATCGTGATATCCGTGGTCTTGCTCGGTTGGGTGATGGCAGAGGTCGAAGAGATATTTGCTATATTGGGAATGAGCGAAAGAATGCGGTCGAAGGTCACAACCCAGGAGAAATCCTAGAACAGCTTCGGTTATCTTACATAGGGATCCAGTACATGCTCTTGTTTATGACTTCACCAATCCGCACGCTTCTTCAAGGCCTCGTTTTGCAAAATCTCAATCCAGTAACCGTCAGGGTCTGAAAAATAATGAGGACAAAAAATCGCAGCAGTAATGGAACTTACCCAGAATAAATGCAACGTCCTTCATCCTCCCGTCAGTCAGTCGCTTCTTCCAATTCACACCCAGCTCTTCCCAGCGCTTGCAAGCCTCATCAAGATCGTCCACGCTGACACAGATGTGCCCAAAGCCCTGCGGCTGGTCGTTGCCATTGTGGTACTTGAACTCCGGGTCGGATTCTGTGCCCCAGTTCCAGGTAAGCTCTAATAAACCTTCGAGGCCCCCGGTCACGCCCTCTGCAGGTCCATACCCGAGGAAGTACAGCGTAAATTTGCCATTGGGATTCTCAGACACGCGTTTGAGATTCATGCCCATTACGTCAGTGTAGAATGCGAGCGACTTGGCCTGGTCTTTAACGCGAATCATGGTATGGTTCTGCTTATATGTTATGACCAATCAAATCACAGTAGGTTGAAACCGACCATGCGATATGATTCCAGGTTTGTCTCCTTGATTTCTGCGGTCTTCTCGATGTCGTTGAACGAAATGACCTCGACCCAGTACCCATCCGGATCGAGAACGAAGGCGATATTGTGCATCCGTCCGTCAGTGAGTTTCTTCTGGAAAACGATACCCCGCCTCTTCGAGCCTGGCACAAGCGGCTTGGATGTTATCCACACTAACACACACATGTCCAAACCCACGATACGGCTCGGAGTTTCCTGTCACGACCTTGTATTCCGGGTCATTTTCTGTCCCATAATTGTGCGTGAGCTATAGAAATTAGTCACAACAAAGAACGGATTCAAGGTCATGCCTCGATTATTCCCTCGCGATCGGTCCAGTGCTTTCCTGGAGAGACAGCATTGGCCGAGTCGTACGCCAGAAAGTAGAGGTCGAATTTTGCGTCAGGATGCTCAAGTTTGTTGATGAGCGACATGCCCAAGAAAGAGTAGAATTTTAGCGACTCCTTTGGATCTTTCACACGCAGCCTGTAGCTCTGTGAGTTTATGTCTGGTTTGCATTGTTTGGGACGCGCATGGAGTGATTGAACTTGTACTTGCTGATATCGGTGGCCATCGTTGAAAAGGCCAAATGTCGGTGTTGGGTAAGATGTAAGATGGAGGGTGCTCTACGCGTTGCCAAAGGTTTGTAAGAAGTACTAGAAAAGGCACTGAGAACATGCGATATCATGAGCGCAGAGAATCCTTACTATTACCTGGTGAAGGTTAGCGCCAAACGCGAAATGACGTCAGTCATGTGATATCCGAAAGGATTGGATTTGCTTCGAAAGGGAAAACAACAAGTAGATCAATAATAACCATTCGTGAGGTAGCTAAGCGTATGAGTGGACGTGGGGGGCATCCCTGACGCAGTAGAGTACACACTACTAGCCCCAGAATGGGCCCTTGACAAAAATGCCGATCCTGGTCTGGCAAGCAAGTAAGTGCGTGAATTCTCGCTGTCATAAGACATGCCAGAAGCTTGAGCTCTGGCAGGAGGGGGAGCGAGACTACCATCGTCTGGTTTAGGGGCTGTCCCATCCATTTCAACGGATTCTGCAGCAGCAAACTTCGCCCACCCAGACTCCCTTCGCTCCCTATTGACAGATTGTCTGCGCTCTCGACCGACCATGCTTGGGGCGGGTGTGAGATTGTCCCCCTTTTCCTCCTGCTTCCCTGCACCGGTGACACTTTGTAATATATTGAGCCAACTTGCTCTCCAGCTTTGAGCCACACCTTCCTCTGCTTCAGCTGGCACTGACTCTGCTTCCCCGGCCAATTCTTTGAAACCGTCGTTTCGCCATGGCACATCTAAGCCTCGACCACCCAGCGACATAAAGCGAGGGCGAGAATCTGTTTCGCGGAGCGTGCCAACCGATGGACGCTGCTCGTGAGCTGGAAGGACCCCAAGGTAGTCGAATTCGGTATCACTACGGAGTTGCTTGGGAGGAGGAGCAACGTTCGCGACACAGAGTGTGGTAGGACTGGCCAAATTTGACTTGATACTGCCGGTCCGACTGTTAATTCGACTATTGCTGACGCTCGGTGTTGCTCTGAGATGCGCAGGAAGTGGTCGAGCAGTTGGATATGGTCCATTGCTATGTGGAGCAGCTGGCGGTAATTTGTATACCGCGCTGTCCCGGAAATGCACCGGTTGCGATGAGTCTGCAAATGGATTGGCTGGTGTCTCCCATGAATTTGAGCCACGACGGTCAAGTGTGTTGTTGGCACGTCTAGGTTCTCCAACGTCACGATCTCCAGAAAGAGAGGCATCACGTGCGGAAGAGAAAGGCGGTTTGTTCTCGGAAGTCGAGGGGGTCACTGGGTCCCAACGAATCGGATGCAGCTTGCTACGGCGCCGATTGCGGATGCGAATACAGAAAGCGACAACGGTTAGAACGCACGCGCTAATGATGAGTGTGCCCAAAATGATGGCTGTGTAGAAGGGTGCTCTATTGCGTGTCCCGGTGACTGTTTGCGGCAGACTGCTGCTGGATGGTGATGGGGACGAAGGTGAAGACAATAGAAGAATTGGCGAAGGCGAGAGTGAACTGGTGGTGGAAAATGAGCTTGAGCTGCTTAACCAAGCTGATGATGAAGAAATTGAGAGCGAAGTGGAGAGTGAGTCCGAAGTCATGAGCGAACTCAATATCGACGACGAGCCTGAAGTCGCGGATAAGCTAGAAGTCGAGAATGATGGCAAGGACGAAAAGCTATCGGAAGCGGTCGTCGAAATCGAGGTCAAATATGTCGAGGTGTGGTACAGGGCCGTCCTTTGATAAGTTCCTGAACCGGTGGTTGTCTCGCCAAGTGTCGGTGTCGCGCTAGGTGTCGTTGTGGCTATAGCTAGTGAAGCAAAAGTTGGTGAGGGAGCCAAATCGGTTGTCGCCGTTGGGATCGCCATTGTCTGCACCTGCTGAGGGCCGCCATCCAGCGTAACAACCGTATATCCGGCATCCTGAGCAGCAGCAACCTCGCCAAAGCCGGGCCCAATGTTTAGTTGTGGAATGGGGTTGCGAACTCGATGGAGACGGTTGGGAGCCAGATACATAGTGGAGCAGTCGGACGGTTCGCGGGCGAAAACAAAATTTGAAATAGTAGACTTCGACCTGCGAAGGATGTGAACTTGAAGATGAAGGTGAAGAGAGAAGAGCGGAAAATTAACTGGTCTCACTTTGACGCGCCTTTTTGAGCCCCTCTCAAAAGCTTCAATAGAGACGCATACTACGGTGTCGCACCAGCACGGCTCGTCTACCCAGTAGGCCTGAGAGTGGACGCGCTGTTGCTGCCGTCGCGTGAATATCTGAAGGCTGGGGACATGAAGGTGTGCTTCAAGGTACAATTTTGACTGATTTGGGTGAAGTTTGGTATCAATCATATATTCCCGTGTTTTTACGCAGAAATGTTACCCTCGGGCCTCCACACTCCTCGACAACTGTTGGGCGTTTTTTGTCTGTATAGGTGTGTCTCCTAGTACGTGAGCTCATTCTTCTCAGATCCACAGTAAAGCTGATCATAGTAAGTCTATGACACATCACTTAAAACCGTTTCGCAAGTCTGAGTCAACAAACGATCCAACAAATTTAATATCCATACACATTTTCCTCTTGTCCCATCTCTGCTTGGACCCTCAGCGCTCTCGGAGCATCATGCATCCTCATTACAATCTCTACCAATTGGATCTTCCCCGCCGCCGCAAATGCTTCATCATCGAGTAGCACACTCAATTCCTTCTTCGTCCGAACCCTATACGATTTAGAACGACTGCCATCGACGTCCCCGAGTGTCCTCAGCAACGAAGTCCACTCCCAGTTCATAATGTCGTTGTATCCTGCCTCCCAACCACGAATGCAGCGTTCGATTTCATACCCATTGTTATTCAGCACAAAGACGATTGGCGTCAACCCATGTCGAACCATGGAGGATAACTCTTGGACCGTTAGTTGAATGCTTCCGTCGCCTGTAAAGAGGATGGTTCGCCCAAGATCACGTTCGCGAGCAGCAAATGCAGCGCCGAGGGTACATCCTGTTGCCCACCCTATAGATCCCCATAACAGCTGGCTCACAAAAATCGACGAAGAAGGCAGGGGAACATCGATGAGCCCGAAGTTCGAGGTCCCGGTTTCTGCGACGATCACGTCTTTGGGGCGGAAAAATTGACTAACGCGAGGCCAAAGCCAGTCTTGCGTAATCGTCTCGCTATCTTCGTGGGGGAGGAAAACGCGGAATGGTTGTGGCGCCGTTATCTCGCGATTCTTATAACCAAACGGCTCAAGCATGGCTGTAAGACGCGGAATGAGTTGCTTCATGCCCACACCAGGGAAAACTGCATGTCGGACTTTGGTCTGGTCGGAATGAAACTACCTCTATCGTCAGCAAGGAATGCTAAAACGAGCAACGCTTACTTCAACAGTCTTGGAGGCTGGTATTGAGTAAGTGAAATTGCCGGTATTGAAATCACTCTTAACACAACCAACGGACAGGATGAGCTCTGCCGCTTCCACCTTTGCTTTTACGGTCGGATCACTGATGGACCCAATATAAATCTGGCTTCAGGTTAATGGTCTATCTCGTCACAAATAAATTTACGGACGCCACCGTATCGTTCGTAATCTTCTGGGACCACAGTTTTTCCCATTGGTGCTGCATAAACAGGGAAACCAGTATTGCGCGCCAATTCGTTGACCTCCGATCTTGCATCGTGGCGGACTGCGCATACGTCGACAAGAATGACCACACTGTCGTTTGCACTAGCGCGGTCGACAAGCTGGACAATCTCTTCGAGGACAGCTTTTTCGGCTTCAACATCGTTCGGTGGCTGATTATGAGAAAGTGGATTTTCCAGTCGCTCCGACGGAATCTTGGCATAGACTAGATTTGTTGGAATGCTGAGGTAGGCAGGTCGAGCCTATAATCCCAAATTTCAAACTCAAAATGATTCAGGATAGGCCATGAAGCTAACCTTCGTGATGCATTCTATCAAGACGCGGTCTATCGTCGCACCAGCGTTCTCAGCATCCACGATAATTCCTTGTGTGATAGTCACATTTGCTGCAGCCTTCACGTAGGCATCGTATCTGCAATGCCGAATCGTCAGGAAACGGTTTCACATTTCCAACAAGCCACGTACCTGCCATCGCCTAATGTGTGGTGCAGTAAGGCTTTGGACCGCTGCTGGGCCGTGCTGGGAACTCCGACTAGATGCAGAACTGGAACCATCTCAGAAAAGGCGCCTGCGATGCCGTTCATGGCAGAGAGCTCTCCAACTCCAAAGCTACATTGATATGTGATGCCACACCAAACACAGGAAGAGCCGGACAGACGTTGTCAAAACCACTCCAATCCGTGTTTCGTTCACCCGAGCGTAGCCATCAGCAGCATAAGCAGCGTTGAGCTCGTTACTTCGCCGATTGTCAGCGTCGTTAAAAAGACTGGAACAAGATCATCACCAGTTTCCGACCCAGCCAATCGCCGGATCCGCTTCAACGAGATCGAGGAAGCCGAGATTAAAATCACCAGGAACACCAAATATTTGCTGTCGTTGGTAAGTTTTAAATTTTCGATCGGGAATTAACCAACACTAACCTTGACATTCAGTTGCTTCAGTCGAGCAAGAATGTAGTTTCCGATCTCGATTGGCTCTTCTGTCTGGGTCGCTCTCAAGCTTTGGAGCTCTAGACGAAGTCGGTTGACTTCAGCTTGTAAGGAGGCAGCAGGTGGCATTTCGGAAGTCATCGCCAATTGGCGATCTTGTGAAAAGGACATTGTTGCCGTTTAAATACTCAGACAGTGCGAGTTATGCGGAGAGTATCTTCGAACTACTCTCAAGAAGGCCGCAGCATGCCCGTGAATGACTAAGTTTATTAATTGTCAAGTTCAAGAATATCTATTCTCTAAGAATAGAACTCAGAAAAAGATTACGCGAACTCATGGCGGGGCATGCTTACCTATGAATCTGCTGGGACTAGGTATCCCAGCTACCTGACCAGAAGCGCTAATATAACATATAATTCCCAAGTCCATAGCTATTAATAAGTATAGGTGACTTGTGTTTGGTTGGGAATACCTTGGCTGTCTTAGGTATCACCCGCACCATTCTGAAATGTGCGGCGCTACACATTTTATTGGTTCACTTGATCATCGGCAGCGGACGTAGCGTATAACAACACAGAAAGTGGTCAGATTGAGTTGGAAAGTGCATTGGTTTTGATAATAATGGCATGCTGAGTATTAGAGTGAAAGTAGTGCAACGACAGCCCAGTTTACTCGCAGTACCTATCAGGATTGAGCAACATTTAAGCCACAAAACTTGACGTCCTACCTCCTTTCGCCGAAGTCACCCAGTCCGGGGATAATATAGGCCTTCTCGTTTAGACCTTGATCGATCCAGCCCGTAATCTAGCAAGCTTCAAAAAAGCAGTCGGAGAAGGATACCATCACTGACGACTTTGACAAGAGGGTACTTGCCGCAGAAGTTGCGCAACCCTTCCGGTGCAGAAATCTAGGCATGTTTGTATCGGTCAAGAATCACGCAGGACATTATGGCGGACAAACCAGGTTGATGAAGATGATACGTTCTTCGGGAACACCGTTTTCCATGAGGACTTCAATGGCCTTGATCGCTGAGCCACCAGTTGCTATTTTATGTCTCAGAGACATTTGAGAGAACGAACTCGCCCCTTGCCTAACATGGGATCGAGAAGGAGCACATAACGTGAGGCAATGTCTTGAGGGAACTAGACACGACAGGAGTAAGCATTATTTTCGGTATGCGATCGAGAACAAACTTTGGAATAAAAGAGCTTGGGGAGAGCAGTTTCTTCGTCCTGCCGCATCATCTCAGAGACACGTAGAATTGAATATTAGCACTCACCCGTTGGATCAAGATCTTGCCAATGCGGACACTGCGACAGACTTCTCTCAGTCCGGCTTCCATAGCCTGCTCATCCGGTTGATATGGGAGCAAGTTGGGGTCATGGCTATCGCACCTCACCCGCTCGCAGTATCGACACGCCGCAAATCTTTCCCTCGAAGCCTACTCCCTCGTAAGTTGCTCCCTATAGGGGCAGGTAAGCAAGGTGATGCAACCTAACGCGGAGATCGACCTACAGTCGGAGTTTCGACGACCTTCTTGACCACAGGCAGATGGTTCAAACCTTCCTCCACGAGTAGGCGGATGATGCGATCTGAATAAAATAGAAAGTCCCCACGACTGGTTTCCTTTGAGCGAATGATAGTGTAGAGGGCCTCCAGTTGGGCGGTTTGAGGCAGAGTAAAAACAGATGGTGGAAGCGGGTTCATCTGGGACTTGTTCGTTGCTGGCTGTGGTGGTGGGACAGGTGAAGAGGTGGCCATCGATGGTCTAGCCGTGCACACGAGGAAAAACGCGTCGGAGGCAAATCTCGTCAATCACTCTCGCTCGTCACGGCGTGACTCCCACCTATTATCAATACGAAGCAATTTTCTCTCTCTAATACTAGTATATGTACAGTCCAGGGTATCGAGTATTACAGTATTGTGAAAGCATCGGGAAAGCAAGGAGTGTCAGCGAGCAAGCAGTTCATCAGGATATACTTAATCATCTTATAGCAACGAGAGCCGCGCCAACCAAGGATGCACAGCCAACAATAAGACTCATTGCGGGCGTGGTCTTCATTCCAGTATTTACGCTCCCATGGCTCGTGCTCCCGAGTTGATTGTTGCTGAAGCGCAGTGGGTCTCCGACCCCGCCATGTCCGTTAGATGTTGCGAGGACGCTCGGATTGATTGTGGCCGTATTAACCGTCTTCGTTAGCGCCGTTGTTGAGTAAGTTTGACTAGGCGCGCCTTTGTTCTCCGTCAAAGCATCATCTCCGCCCAAAAAGACAAGAGCGAATCCTGGTGCTGGAACTTTAACCGAGCATGTCTTGGCCGTGGCATCGCAGTCCACAGTTTTTATATCTTCGGTTCCCGTCAGACGCCCGTCTGAGGCAAAGTTGCCACCAAACGTCTGCCCAGCCCACGTATACGACCCCTTTTGTGCGACGCTGGTAGCCTGGAGGTATTTGACTCTTACTTGTGTCGGAGTTGCCCCGCCAGCTCCCGTTGCATCAGCTACACTGATCACAGCAGTAACATCGCTCTTCCCCGTAGAGTCCGTGATGTAGTTGAAGAGCGCGACGCGAGCAGGTTTGCCCGATTCGTAGATCGCATACGCGGGAGTGAACTCGTTATTGTTGTTGGCTTGAAGATCGAGAACCTGAGTGTGGTTTGTGGCACCCATGGCTTCCGCCATGACTAAAGCAGAGTAGTAAATCTTAGGATACGTCAGATTTAGCGTATAAAGCAGCTCCTGAAACTCTTACTGGTCCGATGGTCCATTGGTGGAACGAGGACTGATTAGTCGGCGGAGACGTGAACGGATTATAAAAGACGTTCTGGCCACCGACGTGGAACATGGCCCCGCTGAAATTAGAGTGCGCCATCTGAAGGGCGTAGTCAAGACCCCATAACGCGGCACCAAATGCGTCCGAGATACCACCAAAGCCACCACAAGACGCCTAAGAGGACTTCGATAAGAAAGAAAGGACGCGGACGAGGAAAATCACTGAGTTGGTCTCGAACATAAGCATTTTCTTGTTCTTTGACTGAGCAAACGCAGTGCTGTTGAGGTATGGTGCAAGCAGCGACGTATGTGCAGTATGGTTCAAGAAATCTTGGAAGACGCTTTGAGGGTCAATGATGGGTGCACCGGTGTTGAAAGCGGCAGCGCAGTTGTCTATAGCATATGATCAGCGTCGTCCACAGGTATAATGTCAATCCTCGCACCGGTTGGATACCTAGGGGATGGAAGGTCATGGTTAGCAAGAACTTGCGTAAAAAAAATTAAGGACGGATCAAATGGGATGCCAAGCCACGGCCAAGCAAAACCGTACATATAAAAGCAACCAAGCAATTTCAAGCGTACTCACTTTTCCACACTCAGCCAGGCCAAGTTGGCGCTGTAGGCATCGACATAACCCGTATCGAAAACCATCTCCGGTGTCCATGTCGCATCAGCCACCGAAGGGCCAATGAGCAAGCTTGCAGCGCGTCCAGTTGGGTCCAGTCCACTCGCAGCAAGTTGGGTCAGCAAGTCGCTGAATTCCCCAAAGTAGTCGAAAGGGCCATAGCTGGAGGCTCCAGGCAAGGGTCGGTGGCCGTGTGCGATATAGAGGTCAGGCTCATTGGAGGCTTGGTATCCGATAACTTTGTCACCAAGAATCCGCTCAGCGGCACCAACGATGGCAAGGTCGAATGGCTTGGTGACAAACCAGGGGATGCCGAGGAACCACTTAACGTTGACTAGGGAAGAGATGTTGGACATCTGCCACGTATGAGTGCTGTTTTATCTTTTGGAGCAATAGATTGCTTACCATGTACAACAGGTCATCGGAAAACTCGAGAGGCGGGGTCTGGGTGGTGCCGGTTACCCCAGTCAGATTCTTCTGCAAAATGCGGCCATCTGGAATCTTGGACGCATCCACAAGGGTGGCCGATTCTTGTGAGTTTCCTAACCAAACTTTAGCCAGTCACTGATTCAAACAAGGGGCAAAACCCGACCTCCCACTCGCACCCGAACACTCCCCGCACGCTGTACAATGTTCCCGAGCAGATTGAGGAAAGGGACTTGAATGTGTGTCGAGTTCTTGCCCACTTCATTCTCGTCAACTCATCTCCACAGCACCAGACAGCTGTCGACTCACAAACTTGATTCGATACGCTCATTTCAACGCTGTGAAGCTGTCTCAGTCTCACGAATTAGGCTTCCAACGGAGGAGCGTACCTAAAGCCGATGAAATCTCCCGACTGCTCGATGGAGGCTCCAGGTGTGCCGCCAGTGTTGAGTTGGATATTAAATGTGCTCGGCACCGCTGGAGTCGGTACTGGCGGGGGAATGAGTGTTGTGGGGTTGTAAGCAGCGACTCCAGTATATGCAGGTGCACTTGCTGAGCCACTCAGGCTGGTTGTCGCGAAAACGACCTGGTTCGGCACGCTGTAAACTGTAATGCCTGCTTTTGCGCCAGGCAAAAGCGCAGACGCCACGAGAAGGAACGCCAATAGCATGGGTGGGACAAGAAGAGAGTAGATGGAGCACAGGCATTTGACTTGCCGTTTGGTGCGGTGATGAGGCTAATTTTAACCAGCCCAATTATAGCCAGACAGACCACCATTTATTCATTTCACTCAATACTCGTACAGTAGATTAACTACATCTCCCGTAAAACAGTTACTGTCTTCGTGAATCTTGAAGTCGGCGTTGGCCTCGTGAATGATGCGCTGGATGTGGTCATCTGTAAGGAGCTGGGATGGTAAGAAAGTGTCAACAAGTCGCAAGAGAGAGACATTATACCTCATTCATGCTCTCCCAAGTCTGCGGTCTGTGAGTTCATGGAAGGACAAGAAAGCTTGGAACGCTAACATCGCATTCCAGCATCAAAACAACTGTCTTCTCCGGGTCGGGCATACGCCAATGTCTGAATACCTCGTCCAACTCCTGGTTCTGAAGCCACTACGCAAAATATCAGTATACTACGTCAACGTAAGTAGAACATATTTACAATAGTGTGCTTGACGAGGTGCTGTTGCGCAATTGGAAGGGCGATAAACTTGTCTACCATATCTTCGATTTTCTTGTGGTACTCCCCAACGGTGAAATGATATTCGGAGGGAATCTTGAAGACGAAAAGGCCGTGACAGGTCTCGTGCCCTTTGGGGCTCTTGTACTGGTCGATCTTGGTGACGATGTCGGCCGAGAATACACATGCACCATCTTGAAGCCCGAACGAGGCGCCATTCCAGACTAGGTTGCAGAGATCGGAGTCTTCCAGGCACTTTTATCGCGTCAGCAAGCAAACCCAAGTGCCGTTGAACATACCTTCAGCATATCTTGCTTGGTCTGGAAATCTATGTTTTAACGACAACAAATGCTGCAGACACAACCCAACCTTTGCTTCAACAGTCACGACCACAGTAGCAGGAGCTGGTGGGAAGCCCAGTTTGCTCAGTGCCCCAGATTCCTGAAGCTCGTCGTTTTGGTAGACCTGAAACCACCGGTACTGAGCTTTATGGCTGGGAAAGACGAAGGAGTAGTTACCACATTTAGCTTCAGCAGGTTGTTCTTGGAAGCAGGGAGGACATGAGCATCATGCATGAACTTCTTCATCTCGCTTCTGAACTTGTTGTTCGTCTCTGGATCGCTGGCCGGCGCTCGGTAAATGCCAATGGCACAGAGTGGTCCAGTGGGTTCTGCGGTAGACATGGTGTATGGGCATGGTCCGTAGCCTTTCGTGCTTTATACCAAGTCGAAGCGAGCACTGTAAATGGAGCGGAGTAGGAAAAGCCCCAACGTGAGTCTTCTGGTGCGAGTTGGAGTTGGAGACAAAATGACGTTGGCAGTGCATTGATATGAGTTGAGTCTTGAATCGGTACTTGAGGGCTGCATATGTGGATACTGAGAGACTCCTCCGCACTATAATCCTGGCTGCGGTCCCCATAAAGGCCACTTGGTGCGACAAAATGCAGATTGTTCGGCATAACAAGACTTGTACTTTTCATTTTGAGCAAATTCAGAAATGCAGGAGCTTCGGCTGCCCTAGCGATATCTTCAGCCCCAAGGCCAACGAGCAGCGAATGATGACACCCGGATCTGTGTCAATGATAAGACTTGCCACTGTTGCCAGTGCTCGTTCATTGACACTCTGACATTGTCGCTGCGCCGTTGTGTAGAGTCTTCATATATTTAGCCCCTTTCTGTACAATTGAGCCCACTAAACCCGAATGCGATACATACTAGTAAGTAGTGCAATCACTGCCAATCAGTCGCGCAGAAGGAAAAGGCAAGATGTGAGGCCAGTCACGTGCACTATGACATTTCGTTCCCCCACTATTCTGTGAATGCGTGGTGAGAACGATGGACTTGGGCCTAATAACAGTGAGCACGCTCATTTCAAATCACTCCGTCGGAAAGCAGATATAATCTTCCTAGGAATACTTCAAGCGATGAGCCTGAGAGCGCCACTGGCGTCTGTGACCACTATTGGCGTCTTCTCCTTCTAAACCCCGAATCCGCTGTCTCTTCCACCCCCCAGGTTGGCCGAGCATTATAACTACCCTTGGCACACCAACACGAGCCCAATCATGTCCTGGGACTGCGACTACTGTGAACGTCCTATTGATGCCGCCAGCGAAAGGAAGTGCCCAGCTAAAGGTTGCAACATGCGCTACTGTAGCAAGTTCTGCGTCGATGACCACGCGGACTGGCATGCCCGGCACTGCGCGAGCCCGCTTCGCCCACTCACAACAGCTGACAAGCTCACCACTGCTGTTTTCGCGGACGAGTTTCCAGACGATGCGGAGACCCTAATTGACTACTGTTTTGACAAAGCAGGAGGAGCCGATGGCAAGACAAACCTGCTCGGTCTCTACATCGGTATTATCAAGCATATGAGCGTCAATCCGAGTCGACTCAACCAATGGAGAGCCGAAAACACCCTGAAGGAACATATAAAGACGCTATTTGAGGTGGGCCCGCATATTTGAAGGCACCATTGCGCCAGCTTATCTAAATGTTCAGAGTATTCCTTCCAATGCTCGTGGGGGCTACTATCCATGGTTTCTCCGGAACGAGCATATATTCTCCCCGTCCCCATCAGCGGTGGCTCCCATCAACCCAAGTCATCGCTGCGCAGCCTGCGGGAATGTTGCCACGAAGCGTTGCGGCAAATGCCTCAAAGTGTGGTATTGCGGAGGCCCCTGCCAAAAGAAAGACTGGAAAGCCAGACATCGTCTCGTCTGCGACCCCAACAAGGCTCTCTCTTCGGCTGATCGCCTGCAAAGCGCAGTTAAACAGTCCAAAATTCCATCTGACTCCCAAGTAATCGAGTCTTACGGCTTCGATCGTGTTGATGGTCAGGGCCAGTCTATGTTAGTCGACCTCTATTGCGTTGTTTTCGAGGAAGGAACACATCCTATGGTTGTAGAGCGCTGGAAAAACGAAGGAATCCTGTTGGAGGAGATCGAGAAATTGCTGCATAAGGCGCCACATTGGAAAACCAGTCGAATTCTGCCATGGCTCGAAACACACAAATTTGTCCTTGACCTGCAGCTTCCCGCCCCCGCGAAGGACCATATACTCTCCAGTCTAGAAAACACCGTGAAGGAAGCCCATCTGAAACTCTGGAACTCGATTATGCCGAATGATCCATGCAGGTCCATGAAGGAAATTCACCCAGCGATGCGAAGGCTCCGATGGTCCAAAACGGACGTTGGATTCTTTATCTTCGTTGCCCAGCTCGAAATCTGCCATCCTAGCCCCGCAGAAGACAGTTGGGTGTTCCTTGGATTCTGCACGTGTCATGACGCTGCAGAGGAGGATCACCTCGGTCTGACCTACCAATTACTTTGGGAGCGTTGCTCGTCTTATGATGAATTCCTTGACGCGTTTCGTACCTCGAAAATCATGGAGCTTATGGATGCTCACGGTCTTGGTTCTCGTCGCTTACTTCATCCTTACCTTTCCAATGTCCTCCAGTCCAAGTTTTTCCCCGGCTTTCCCTCCGTCTGGTATCTCAAGCAGCACATAGAGCTCGGCTCAGACAGCTCCCGCCAGACCCTGATACCCTCTATCGTCGTCGACTATGGGTTCATGAACTGCAAATCGGACGCCGAGTACGAATTCCTGAAGGGTATTTATACCAAGTTATTCGAGCGCAAGGATGTGAATCCGGTCGAGCTACACAACGTGTGTGTTGGGGGGAAGCTGCACCAGCATATAACTGGGCTCTTTCCAGAGCTCAAGAAGAAGAAACGGCTGGAGGCCCTCTTGCAAAATCCATACCCGTTGCCTGATCTATGAAGTCGATGTTTCTTATATCGCAGGTTCAACATTTCATTCATGGGGCAAGTAATGTAAAATAGGCGGAGGCTTGGTATAGCAAATAAATATATAACATTAAAGGTCGTCATACTCCTGCGTCTGCTTCCCCTTCACCACCCTTCTTGTTTTCCTGCGCCGCAAATATGTCTCGCTTCTTGGGGTCGTTCTTTGACGTGAAATACGTCAAATTCAACAACACACAACTACAGGAACAAGTCAGCTCCAGGCAATGTAATGAAGAAGATAAACCCACGCAAGGAATTCGGTAAGTACTCCTAGGAAGTACTCGATAGCAGTGAAGCGCGGCGTGAACCCATTCGGGCCATAGTTTTCGGGATTGTAGTAAGATAGGCTCCAGACACATGCTTGTAGGATGCCGAATATCCCACGTACAATAAGAGGAAACCACGCGATGAACAACAGAATCAATGTCGGGTGAACGGTTCCCTTGCGCTTGCGTGAATCGCCGTCGCGCCGGTTGTTGCGCATTGTAACTAGGATGATTACAAGCAGGGCAGCGTTTCCTGCGAGAAAGACGGCTTGCCCCGCTGTCCGCGCTATTTTGGACACGCGCAAACGACGCTGAGTGTCGGGGGAGTCGGGTTGAGAGTAGTCTGCCCCCGCTAGGTACGAGCCACCGACGACAATAGCTGTGTTGGCGAGGATCAGGGCAGAATGGAAGCCAACCATGGGGTTGTCGCGGTATACCAAGAATGCGAAAGGGCCCAAGAATATGAACGCAAGAGCCTTGCGTGCTTTATTGGTTCCAGGGGGGTCGCGAGGCTCGAGCCAACTTTCGCCGGACGCGAGATTGTGTTGATGCCATGAAATGACGAAGCGAAAGGCGCATAACACGAGAGAGAAGTACCCTTCCGCCCCAAGTATCAGGAATGCAAGGAAGAGGTCTGTGTTCCGGAATCCCAAAATGCCAAACCCGACGCCGCAGCCTTGCGACGCCAATCGAATAGTGACATGGATAAACAGTGCCAGGTAGCGCGAGCCCCACTTGAATTTATGCGTGAGAAATCCGTAGAGCATCCATATGAAGACGGCGAAGTACTGGGTGGTGTTAATTTGGTAGAGATGAATAAAATGAAGATCACGAACGCCAAGAAGGAAAGCGAGGGCAGCGCCAGCTTCACCAGTGAACTCAGCCATTGACTCGTCGGGAAGCTGGGCCAATGTCAAGTGGTGGCCGTATTTAAGTCGAGAGCGGGTGTGGTAGGCATCAGAATTAAGGAGGAGCTGTTATACGCAGCACTCCTCGTGCAGAGACAACCGATGTGTGACGTAACTTCGTCACTGACCGCCGATCCCAGGATTGACGAAACCATTCAGTTCTCCGAAGTTCTCGCTCGTTTACAGCTGATTGCAGAATTATGGGTGGTTTGTGGAGCGACAAAAACTCCACATTGTTTGTAGTTGTTGTGGTGTATAGCACGGCCTTGAACTCGGAAACCCCACTGTCCGTCAAGGCTATTTACAAGCAGAGCGTTCCAACGGGTGCGCAGTCTACTGCGCTGATTCGACTTCGACAGGAACTTGTCAGTGGCGAGAAGATAATCTTGGCTTGATAACAGCATCCTGCATCGATAAGGCATGATCCTCGAATCCAAGTTTTTATTCATTCGTCAGTACAACCTGTTTGTCCCTTTCAGCATGCCAGCAGCATTGGGTCAATGCGCTTTTAAGAATTTGGCCTCATGGTCGTTAAGTGCGTTGAGATCAGGGAAATGCAGCGATTCTGAGATGAGTCAGAATCGCGAGGTACATATAGCACATCACGGCGCATATAAAAAACACCTCACTGAGCGTCGCTCGTGTCAAATTGATAGCTCGCCCTGCACTTTGGGAATGAAAAGGAGACTGAGTCACGGAATGGGTCGTGTGCAAAATATTCGAAAAGGGGGATAGACAGTATGTCCACCTCGGTACCGTCTATCAAGAGGTAAACTAGGACGAAGGTTGGTTGTTTGTCTGAGTTCATCGTCGTACGCGTGTCAGGAGAAGGTGTGACCGCGTTCACTGGTGGTCACACGCTCTGAAGCACTTATTTCAAACCGTTTTGCGGCGCTCGTGGCAGAGGTGATTTCGCCTAGCATGGCTTGCTCAACCCGTGTTTCATCTGCCGACAGCCATGGAGCTCTCGCCGGGGCCCCAAAGCGTCGAACACGGCCAGTCAGGGCCTCTTCCTTTACCCCCCGACATTGACCCCCGGGCCGTCGAAATGCAAGGCCGTGTGGGCCCGCCTCCTCCCTCCAAGAAACGAAAACGTGAGCAGGAGGTGGTGGAGCCGCTTGTCAGCCCATGGCTCGCGACAATACCCAACACCTCGATCATGAGTTTGGATCAGAGGTGCGATCCAAAATTAAATGTGTTTTCTTCCCACTGAACTTGGTTAAACCAGGATGCATTGTGAAATCGCTACCTTCGTGGACTACGTCCAACAGACCGCACAGGAGAGAATCGCGCGAGATAATCTTCTGGCGGTTTTACAGAGGACCTTGCGGTCTCGTTTGCCTGATGGCGAAATCAAGGTCCATGGCAGCGCGGTGACTGGACTGTCTCTTCCTGGCGCGTCAGTTTCTACGCATGAATCATTTCGCTCAACTAAAACCCCCATTAGAGACCTCGATCTGGTCATGGTGACCAAGGAGGAAATATCCGCTACTGAAAAGAAACGCGCGTTCTACTTGATTACTTCGATGCTGAAGAGCGCACGAATCTCGGACGACGTGTTCTTCCAAGCTAGAGCCAGAGTACCCATCGTCAAGTTCAAGACCCTTCCGGAATACGGTTTGCGTTCTTCATAGTTGTGCCTATGGTTGTTAATTCGTTCAAGGGTCTGTGAATGTTGATTTGGGGATCAATAACACTGACGGAGTCCGTGCGGTCGAGATCGTCAACGGTTACATGTCCACCATGCCAGCTCTTCGGCCGCTCGTTATGGTCGTGAAGGCCTTTCTCGCGCAACGCGGGTTAAACAATCCAGCCACAGGCGGATTGGGCAGCTATGCTGTAATTTGCATGTGCATTAGCTTTCTTCAGGTCTGCCGTCGTTTGTCTTGCCATTTCCGTTCTTACTTTTGGTAGCTGAATCCCAGTCATCGACCACAAGATTATCTTGATAAACCTTTGGTAACCGAATCACTCGGTGCACTGTTGGCCGACTTCCTATTCTATTATGGCCTTCATTTTCCTTATACCACGTCATACATATCAGTAACGCTCGGAAAGGTCATGCTCAAACAGTCGGCTGATTGGACAGCAAGTAAAAATCCCGACGCGCTCGTGATCCAGTGTCTCGTCAATCCAAGTATGTTTTACCCTTGCATATTTCTTTACTGAAGCATTCGAAGCTAACGACGTTGGGAGACCGACACGTCATATTGAGACTGTCAAAAAGGCTTTCAAGGAAGCATACGCCCAAATTCTTCAGCTATCCAAGGAAGATGAGAGTCTGCTCACTCCTTTGTTCGCTCTGAAGAAATCGGCATGTTATTCTCGATCAGCTATCTATCCCGTTTTGGTTTATACTTTCCAAGATGGTGGACCAGCGTGCGCATATTCACTCCCTGGTGGATTCGGGAAAACTCGCCACCGGAATGATGCGCTCTTCCTCCTCGGCGTCTTCGGCAAGTTCTACTACTCATAGAGATCGTTTGGCAACCATGATACGGTCCTCAAATGGTCGCAAAGTCGAAGGAGAACCGGAGGCAAAACGAGCTGCAGGCAATAGAAAGCCGGAAGGCTCTTTACGGAGAGACCAAGCCAACGTTCCATATGGGATGGGCTTTGGCTCTGGATCGCTTTTGAGGCGGGTGGAAGATCACGAGCGGGCAAAAGATCGGATGAGTCGCGAGCGGAGAAGCAGAAGTCCTTCGCCCAGAACAGAATCATCTCGTCACGGAAGAAGAACAGACGGAACCCGCAAAAGCTCTGTTGGAATGCGTGCCTTCATCGGAGCTGTACCGACTCGTCGCATTGCTGACTCCGAGGTATGGTTCGACTCAGAGTGGCCCCCTCGTCGAAACGAAGATCGAAGTCGAAGCCGGAAACCAAGGGAGAGGGATAAGGCGGAGGTTATTGAACGAGAAGACGAGGGTGTGAAACGGCGACGAGTAGGTTGAGGTCGAATGCATCGCAAAATGTCTGTTTATGTATTCGTTTGCAGATCATCGAACCATTCCGATGAAGATTGTCACTGCGCTACGGACTAGAACCAACACTGAAAATGTAGCTTATCGTTTTCAAAATCTAAATTTGTGACCGCGATCAATTCCGTTTTGTCCCAAACCTCCATGTCCACAGTATTACCTCCAGAGCTCATCTATCTCATAATTGACCAAATACCGTACCTCTCGTCTCTCAAAGCTTGCTCTCTAGCTGCCTCTCTGTTTCGCAAACCGTGCCAACAACGTCTGTTGGCCTCACTCAACCTCTGCGCTCGAGCGGTGTACAAACGCCATGCTTACTCGGAAGTCCTCGCCCGGTTTGAGGAGGCGCCTTACTTGGCTGGCTATGTGACCAAGGTCCTGGTCTACCTGCCTGCCGATGTTGCTGATTGGGAACAAGTCAAGGAATCGGCGGAGCTCGTTTTCCAGCAATTGGGAAATGTCCGTGACGCCACCATTCAGGGAAATTATTCGGCAGACCAGAGACTGCTCGACTTTTGTGCAGATACCGTGGATTGGTGTATCCAACTCTTATGTAGACACACCTCCATGACCAAGCTGTCGCTCTGGAGCCTCGACAGACTGCGGCTTTCAGTTGTCACCAACGCGTTTGCTGCCGCTGCCTCCGTTACCTTCAGCGATGTGCGGCTCTCCAATGAAGCTCCTTCATTGCTTCAAGTCGGCGATGTGACTTCGATAGACGAGCTATGCTTCTGGCATAGTCCAACAATCAACCAGCTTTTACTCCGGCCAGAATTCGCTCGATATACCGCATCCCTTCGTCATTTGATACTCTGCGAAAACCATCAACACCGCCAAACTATGTTTCGGCTCTGTTTCACGACTGCCTGCACTCTAGAACGGCTTGACCTCCAATTCACCAGTCAGTACTTACCTCCTACATACCATTCTGTTCGTCTCAAATTGCATCGCCAGCCCTTATGAGGAAAGAAACAGACATTGCATTACCCACGCGTTTGCCCCGATTGCGCATCTTGGTCATCACATTCGCCAACAGCAGCCTTTCGAATTGGGTCCTGCCTGTCTTTTTGGCAAACATTCTTTCCAAAACGGTCACTCCTGCCCTCGAGGAGCTTTCGCTTAGTGTTCCTCTGGGCGGGGCTCGCCAAGACAAATACTCGGCCGTCGCGTTTGGTGAGCTGGACGGGATTATCGCAGAGCATTCCAGTGTCACGACGCTCCGTTGGGTGATGTCGTTTACCACGTTCGTAGGCACACACAACGTTTTGGGATACCGAACTGCGGTCAGAAGTGCAATGCCAAAGGCTGCTGCGAGGGGTTTGCTTGTCTTTGAAGATCGTTGGGAGACATACGGAAGGTGAGGGAGTTGTGCAAGGCAATATATTTATCCAGGATAGCTTGAATAAAACCGGCGTTAAATAAAGAATAAGATTAAGTATGCGTCTAAGTCAGCTTGTTGGGAGGCTCGATCACCGGTATGCAATCTGGTGTAGTAAAACATTGTTCCCTCCCTCGTTCCGTTTACCGAGGAAAATGATACTGTTTGGTGTTCCCGTCTTGGAGCCGTAGAGGTCGTCGAGAGTGATAGTGACCATCATTCCTAACTCGAGGGACGCAGCAAGGGCACCAAGGATTACTCTTGGGTTTGAATCAATGTAGTTATGGTAGTACTTCAGCACGCGTGAGTCGAGGCGGACGTGAGCAAGAGGTAGGGACACTTTGGCAGCGTGAGATGTCATTATTCGAACCAGATGAAAATATGCTTACCAGCATAACGCAATTTGGGGAAGGACGCGGTCCACTGGTAGTACTCTGCGGAGCCAGACCTTCGCGGAGGCTCATAAGATATGCGAGCCTGTATCTGCGAATCATGGGCGCAGGTGGGCTTCCCCAAGCAATGGCAAGGTAGGATGTAATCAAATTGATCAGCCCGGCATTTTCCAGCAAGTGGAAAGCGGCTGAAGTTGGTAGAGTCGGGGCATTTCAACCGTGCATTTAGTCGTTTCCGGGCTTCTTGGATGCTGTCCACAAGGGAGCACACCGGCGAATAGAGCGGTGATGGTAGAGGTGATGAGGCAAACTGTTGATGTGTGTAGAATTGCTGCATTTGGATGAGGCGAGCCGTATGAGTGGATCTCAAGGGGATTGGATTGGTCGTATGGTACATCCATTGTCGAGGGTTTTAACTTGGGCATGTCGCAACGGTCGAATACAACAAGACAAGCATTTTGCGTAGAGGCAACAACCATGGCTAGCCAGCCTTGTTGTGGCGGGACAAAAACGTAGAGCAAAGCAGACAAGAAACACAACAAAACAAGGATTGCCTTAGCAGCAGTTGGTGTGTGGGCGAGGGGAGAAGAATAGAACAAGCGCTTACCATCACGAATCAGCGGAACAACTGTTTGCATCGTTTGCATCACATTTTGACTCTTGAGATCCTGAAAGGCCACAATGACTCCGAGTGAGAGCTCATAGAAAATATAGAGTTTACATAAGGGTCAGTACCGTTGCTGCCGACGTGCATCCAGTCTTATTGAAAGTGAACTATCCGTGCCAAACGCTTGCGTCGCTGAGTCGGCATGACACACACACACACACGTGACTCCCGCCCTCTTTGTCTTCTACTCCCATTCTTGTCTTTCAACCGTTTCCCTGACGAGCATTACTTCGCAATGGCGCGTCAAAGGCTTTATGGGTGGAAAAGTCACATCCTTGAGTGTCACAAGCTGGCGTCTATAAAAGCCACAGTTTGTCCACAGGATCTCTCGTCATGTCGCCCACAACTACTTCCTTTATACCTGTCCTCGCCATCTCTGCTCTCATCCTCATCTCATCGAGATTTTCACCCCGGCCTATTGCCATCTCAGACTTCTCCATCCAGTTCGTCCTAGGCACCGTCTCCAAGTTGACCGTGTGGCTCGTGAAGTTTGCCTGTGGCGTTGCAGACGACATCCGTCACGATTTTGTCACCTTCTCACCACAAGAAGCATCCATAGCGGCTTCATCTCTCCACTCTGAAACTTACTCCGACTCAGAGAACTACAATGGTGGCGCTGATCACGAATCGTACTCCAACTCAGACGAGTCAAATTATCTCCCGCATCCACCCAAGAAGCCAATGCCGCCGATGATGCGCCTTGCAGACCACTTTCGTCTCTATCCCTCTCGGTGAGTTTCCATGGGCTATTGATGCATGTGGTGTTATTCATGAACTTCTATAGTCCTTGTCCTGCCCAACGTCCTCTCCCTCTCCCTTCTTCACATCGACGATTCCGATTTACCTCTCCTTGGCCTGCACCATCTTGTCGCGTGTTGCCAGCTCATGCTCATGGCTGTACCTTCCTGTTCTCCCCTCTAACAAGGTTACTACCGTATCGCAGCGCTTCCGACCCGCCAGCACAAACATCGACCCTCCAACAACTGATGGATTCTGTGCCTCCACCGTCTTACGAAGAACTAGATCTGTCTTCACGCTTATATCGTCTTCGTGCCTCGTTTTCAGTCCCCGCGACTCTATCCCATGTTATCCCCGTCCCTCAAGTGGAACAACAACAACAACAACCCCAGGCCCTTCCTGCTTTTCTCCAACCACAAGCTGCACAGCCACCTGGACCGCCACTAGTGCTAGCTATGCCGATGGACGTTTGTCTTGAGCCCACTATTCCGCCTCCACCACGGACGCCACCATATGACTGGGGGTACCACGGGTTAGCCTTTTGTCACGCTAGTGCGATGAACGATGCGAGTTTGTGGGAAGCGGCGCTCTTTGAGTCAGAGCTCGCAAAGCCGTCGGTGAAGTCATGGCCATGGAATGTTCTAGATAAGGGACAGGGCTTCAGGTTGGACAACACGTCAGGCCGGGTGGTTGCACCTCCGCCGTTGCCGTCACTTGGCATTTAGGCACTCCAATTCTTCTTAATCCAATGTCGTGTTCCTAACGCATGCTTATTACTATAGCATAATACTTACTTATCTGGACTATTTGTAGCCTTAGTCAACTGTGAATCTATTTGTCGTTGTTCTCATTAATAATTAGTACTTCATTAGATTACATAGATCCTTGCGATTCTCAGACGCTCTTCAAATTCGGCCATTCGACCACCCACTCCGCAGGCACGGAGTGCTCTTGATTGTCATCGTCCTCGAATTTCAGCTTGTACACGTGTTTGGCAGTTGGATTCGTCTGAATAAGGAATAAGATTTCGCCCGAGTTTCGAGCACAAGCCTACCCGCGCCAGCTGCTTTGGCGTCGCAACCACCTCTGCGCGATAGAAGCAGCTCGTGTCGGGGTACAGCGCCATGACGGCGGCCCCCTGCACAAATTCTTGATACGCGTTGATGTGCGTGGGGGATTTCTCGTCGGCCATTGGGTCAGGAAGGGGTATTATGCCTTTGAGGGATGTATGATAATAGCTGAGAGAGAGAGAGAGAGAGAGAGAAAATATCAGTCGTATGACCTGAATCTAGGCTTCTAGTGAGACCCACAGTCCGAGCTGGCCGTTTTCTTGAGGCTCCGGGTCCTGGACCTCGTATCTTCACACGCGCTGAGTCAGCGAGTTTGGAGAATAGGGAATGTGCTTGCCGTGTTTTGTCTGCGCTTAGACATCGGACCACGACGGCGAGGATCCAACTATTTTCCCCGGTATCGATGGTTGGCGCGTCGGATGCTGGCGGTTTTACGCTGCTCGGTCCTATTAACTTGCCCAGTGGCGGGTAAAACGCCACCTTGCGACCCGGAAGTAGGGGTAGCTGAGCAAGTATACCCTCTTTTTTTCCCTTTGGAACCCGGGTCGGGGGTGCTGGAGCAGCAGGTGGCCCAACAGAGGCGCGAGCAGGCACAGTTATGGATATTCGCGTGGGGACACTGACGGTGGGTGCCGGGGCTATTGGCGCTACGGCAGGCGGAAGAGATGGAGACGGGATTTTAGGGCGTTTTGTTCTTTTGTCTGCAGGTGGGAGTCAGGGTCGTGTTGATGTGGAGATGAGGCACTTCACCGGCTGGCTCAGGCGCCTTCCGCAGCCCAATAAGCACATCGAGGCGCTCAATCGCCTCTTCAATCGCCCTAGAGCCCCTCAGTATGCAGCTTGGAATTTTTTGAAAGCGTTTGGTCGACCCACTTCACTTCTTGATCTGATGACCGCTGGATTTCCTCCAGACCAGAATTGAGCTTGCGATAAATTCGCTTGACTTCGTCAAACCCTTGGGGTGGCATGGTACCATCGACTGGCCAAACATAGCTCAGACGATTTACCCGTCCGACTGTGTCGTTCTGTGTGTTGTGGGCGTACAACGTTGACAGCGCCGATAATGATTTGGCTGCATGCGACCAGCATTGCACTTCTGTTTGCGCGTAACCTGGTCAATTGTATCGCGGATATACGCGTAGCCCACCTTCGCTTGAAGCCGGGCGGACTGCACCTCGTCGTCGGTCCATGATTGTATGAAAGAAGGTGAGATGCCAACACGGATCAAAATCTGTCACGGGATCTAAATTGGGTTGACTTTCACTATGTAAGTACTCCCATTCGACGTGCCACTATTTCCCAACGAAATCGGACCAAGATACTCCACTCAAAAGCGTCAGCCATTGAGCCTTCAAGCTCAAGAGTCTTCAAGTTGTCTGGCAGGATCCGTCCACTGTCGAGACAAGACTTGAACCGTTCAAGACATCACAACTCACACGGACTTGTTGTGGCTAACACTAGTATTGTTAAAGAACTGAGGATCTGGAGATTTTACTTGCAAATTTGCTGTCTACACCGGTGTGCTCAACAAGCGGTCAAGATACGCCAGCCTGTTTCAGTGATCGACTAAGGGCCCCTTTTTTCAGCTCTGAGATGTGCAAGGGCCTTGCAAGGCCCAGGGGCCCTTTCAAAGGGGCCACAGCAAGGGGCCCTTAGGCTAGGCGAGGAAACAAAATACATAAATATATATATTGTGTTTTGATATATAATTGCCTCTTTTATATACCATGATAAGGTATCCTTGAGACCAGGATTCAATTAAGGTGAAAATAGATGTTCTAAGAGGTCTTTCTACTGGCAATGTCACAAGTGTCACACTATTTGATACCATCACAGGCCCTTGCAAGGTCCTTAGACTGTTAGCAAAAGAGGCAAGGACCTTGTGAAAGGCCCCCAAGGGCCCTTATGAGACAAGGGCCCCTGCCCCCTTGGTCGATCACTGGCCTGTTTCGCTTCTCCAGCCCTGTGTCGCGATATTGTCCATCTGCCCGTTGTTGATACCCGATACTTGGCGTCCGCAGGAAGCACCTCGAGCAGCACCCGCTCCCGCGCATTCTCCCATGTACCAGTGATGTTGCCTATCTCGGGGGCCAGCATTGCACGTGCAGCTAGATGCCATTCGTCATAGAAGATGGCCTAGTTTCAGCCTCAGGTCACGAATGAGAGGAAGCGACAAAAATATACCCATTTCCGAAACGACGCTGGAGACATGCCGGCCGCTGCAGCCTGTTTCAGCGGATAAAGCAACGCCTTGCGTCCTGCGTCGTCGGCCATATCGGCGATATCATGATTCAAGGCAAATGAGAGGACCTCCACGGGGTGTTGGTCGAGCGACTCTCTTTTGGCCGGTGAGAATAATGATCATGTGGTCTTTGGCCAGACCTCATTTTCTGCTCCAATGCAGGCTCTGCTGCATAAACAGAATACTTCTCTGCTGCCTCCGCCAGTGGCCAGCACACAGTGAACGGCACGTCACGCAGGATTGGTTGCGGCTGGCGGTACATGTATTGGAACAAAAGCTCGAGCACGGCTGATGATTCAGGCAGCTCGATCGTCTCCGAGTCGTGATTGCTATTTGCTCGCAACAAGTTTGCGAATGGCTCAGAATGTATTTCGAGGTTGATTCTGTGGACCTTGAAGAGAACACGGTCGGAGGAGAGGAGAAAGACATCTGCGTCAGAGGCACAGACTATGCGATCGCGATAAGATCCGATAAGATCAGGCAGGAGCTTGCCACTCACAATGCTCGGAGACGGTTACGGGTTCCGAGTCGCTCATCGACTAAGCACTTGGTAGACAACGTTGTGGGGAGAGAAGAGCTAGGGCCGACGTTCCATGGTAAGATGTCACTGTCATTGCCGAACCTTCGGTTTGGCTCCTAATAACAAGGTTGCCATCAGCACTACCGCATTCGGAGTGGCAGTGTCAAATTATTCCCTTTTCGGGTGAGCTGGTCACATGGTGTTGCTTCAGTCGTCCCCTTTCTTTCCTTACTGCTTTGTCGTTCACCTACGCTCTATCGACCTAACCTTTACTCCTCTTTGTCTCTCTCATAACCTTTACTCCTCTTTGTCTCTCTCATCAAAAGAAAATATACATGTCGCGGTCTGTAGCTCAGGGATCAGGGTGTTTTCGCTTATTGCCTCCGGGTCTTTCGACAGCACGTCTTCTGCTTGCTAGTATCTCCGTCCTTATCCCTTCCAGATGGCATCCAGCGCGCAAAACACTATCTCAGCTCAAAACCCAGTCGAGATTGGCGGGATAACACAGGGCATCACCCTCTAAGGCTGAATCTATGCATAAGATACTGGTGGGCTCCAGAGAATGTAATGCATAAGATATGGGTGCCCACCCAAGCGCTAATAACTGAGGATTGTGACAGAGATTGTGACATTAGATCAAGATGGTCATTATGCAATAGGATTGATAGATATGACTTATGTAATATCATATAAAATATCTTCAAGTCCCTTTTCTTCAGGCCGATGACCCGGTATGTAATTAGGGGGACTGTGTGATATGGAAAAGAGAATATCATCCTAATTGGGATGAAATTGATGTATCTCTATATAGCCATCAGAATCAGTGATGGCAATCAAAAATTGTTCCACATCAATGCTTATATCTAAATGGCATCAACCTATCAATGATAGGGCATCAGGACACTCCAATAATCCTAAATTACAGTTATTTTATATATCAAGAAGCAGGACCCATATCTTATGCATTACATTCTGTGGAGCCCACCCATATCTTATGCATAGATTCAGGTATATGAGCTGAGGGCATTGACGTCTGGACAGTGCGTGTTTGCTTCTCGTTGCTCACCCAGTGTTTGACAGCTTTACTAGAACATGTCGGAGCTCGATTTTGCGGAGGGGGGGGGGAGTGTTCGTCGAGATACGGTGTCCAATGATTCCATAACCCACAATGCCAATGAAATATCCCCTTCTTCCCTTTACATTGATGCAACTCCGGCCGTTAAGACTGCAATCATTCAGAAGCTATTGGAGTTACCATTTGGGTCCTATGCCAAGAACCTGTCTTCGCTGATTCCCCTGCACCTGGATATGTCTGCTTATGTTACCACCGCCGATAATGGTCGTCATCGCAAACGCCGCAGAACAAGTCCGTTCTGATTTTCACGCCCATCAATGCAGTGCCCCTTGCCTTATCGTTTTGGAACATGCACGTCTGGCTGGTTATACTGGACTTCCTATGAGTGTAACGACTTTTTCAGATGCAGCCCGTCAGCTCCGACTTCGTCTTGGCCCTTCTGCTGCTAAACGCCCTTATGTTGGTTTGGAAAATTCTGCCAAGCGTCGCAAGATTAATACACCTTCTACTTCTCAATATGTCGCGGTCGAACCAGTCTCTCAGGATGAGCAGGCTCATCCTTTCCATGTCCTGCCTTGGTCAGAGAAACAAGCCATTATTCAGGAATTCTGCGACGCAACATCCTCCGAAAGCTTGGCTCGTTCTGAATGTTCGTTCTGCGGCGTGTTGGAGCATAAGTCTTTGATGCAGTCCTTCTCTTGCGCCTCACTCGACATATCCCTCCTCGACGCTGCCGTGGCCCTTTTGCGTGAGCATTGTCAACAACAGCATATCTATCCCTTCAAAGCGTCGTCTATTGTCAACAACTGTTATAACGTGTGCACTTTTTGTCGCAGGGAAATATCTCATTCCCGTTTCAAGGGTATTCCACTTCGGGCCTATGCGAATGGAACTTGGACAGGAGATCTACCCGCAGAGCTCGATGGCTTAACCTTTTTGGAGGAACAATGCATTGCGCGTGCCCGATCTACTCGCTGCATGTTTAAACTCCAGCTCGGTTCTTCCGGACAATACGCCTCACGCGGGAATGTCTGCATTCTGCCCCAGGATCCAGGACCCTTGGTTGCGTCTCTTCCTCCACCTATCCATGTCCTTCATGATGAGATTTGTGTTATCCTAGTCGGGTCGCCCGACACGGTTGTGACCGAAAAGTATGTTGACCAATAGTCCTTTGCTTGTCCGGCGCGGGCGCATAGTCCAAGCTCTCACGTGGTTAAAGAACAACAATCCACTGTATTCTGATATCGACTTGGACACAGTGCGGGTTAACGCTTCCCATTATCCCGAGAGTGGGATCCCCTTCCCGGTCCAGGAGTTCTTCAGAACTAATACAAATGCTGAGGGATCCTCCTATGTTCAGCAAGCTAATGATTCCCAGTTTGCTAATGTTACCAGTCGTGGAATGCCTTCGTCGACGGTTGTTGATGTCGACTCTGTCGATTCAACTTTCGACACTCGCAGAATTGCAGCATTGGAAAAGCTTAAGAACAACGTGGAATCTTACACGAAATACCCTTCAGGATCTGTGCCGCAACCTACGAAGCACAATCCTTCAATATATGCGTACTTATGGCCAACTCTGTTTCCCTATGGGGTTGGTATGATGGAATTCCGCATGCTCACACTCGATCAGGAAACACCATTCAGGCCAATCGACACTAAAAACTCACGTCTCCCACCTGTTAAACCGTGGCTCTGACCGACGCTTCCAAACTCACTTGTCTTTTATGTTTGTTATGGGTAATATCCTACAACGTCGCCAAGCAGGTTTTAATTCTGGTCTGGCCGTTCAGCGTTCATGGTTCCCTCTTGTGTCAAGTTTGTTTGAGCAGATTACTCCCGAAGCAATTGCGTCTTATCAATCTAAACTCAAAATGAATCCCTTTGCAAAAGCTGAGACACCTGGGGAAAAGGCTGCTTCCAAGTTAATGCAGTACGTTTCTTATGTGGGTGATCATATCCCGGGATCGACTGGCGACATACAGAAAATGCGTCAAGAAATGTTTTCAATCATTAATAGCGAAGGTCTGCCGAGTATTTTCCTTACCCTCAACCCTTCTGATACTAACAATCCCATCGCGCAAGTCATCGCTGGTCGTGACATCGATTTGGATACTTTCTTCCATGATTTGTCTCCCGGCTCGGAGAGCAGCAAGCGCGCCGAAGTGTTGGGCCTAAACCCAGTCGCTGGTTCAGAGTTCTTCCATCTCTCAGTCCGCAATCTAGTCGATATATTGCTTGGGACACGTCGAGAAAATCGGCTGGGTGTTTTTGGGGAGCTGTCAACTTATTATGGTGTCGTTGAATCTCAGGGTCGAGGAAGTTTGCACATTCACATGCTCCTATGGCTTAA